ACACACACACACACACACACACACACACACACACACACACACACACATCACAGGGTCTGTCCTGTGTAGACCAAGTATACCCAGGCACAAGTCCTCCCCTGGAGCGTTATTGATTTACTCAGTAACACTCCATGGTAAAAAGCTGGTTTTCCATTTCCCAGCAGCTATCAAAAAGCTTCTTGATGAGGGGTGGGACTCTGTGTCCACTTCTCCTTCTTGGTGCTTGGATTTTGTCTGGTTTGAGCCTGTGCAGGACTTACATGTGCTGTCAATAACCCATTTCAGAGCAAAGACAACCCTCCCCCATTTCTCTGGGGGTTTCCATCCTTTGCCAGGTACTCCCAATTCTGAGGTCATGCCAGCACGCCAACCCATACAGGTTCTGTGTACTACCCTATGCTCTCTTTGTGCCAGAACAGTCTCAAATGGTTGCTATAATCAATATAAAAACTGAGCCAATTAAAAAACAAACCAGATATGACCAGAGGCAAGGACTAGAAACTAGCAGGACTTCGGAAAGAGAACAGACCAGTGAAACGTGTCCTTTTTTGGCAACGTCCTTCATCCACTCCTTGCATTTAATAAGTGTCGATGTGTTTGTCACAGAATTATCACGAGGCGAGTGAGGAAAACAGAGAAATCCACACATTTCTCTAGAAAAGTCTTCTGTGACAGAATCATACAAAGTAATAGTATGAGGAAATGACACAAAGCCTTTAAAATAACTATGCATCTATTTTTTTTTTCTGATTAAATAAGACAATGCAGCCAGCACAGCAGAAGTGTCTACATATTATTATTATTTTTTATAAAAACCAACTCAGAATATCCAGAGTCAAAGCATCTGTAGTGTGTGGACTGTGTGAAGAGCACCTCTCTCTCTTCCTCTGTCATCTGTGCAGAACTTCCAGACTGCCATGGAACTGCTCTCCGTGCCCCTGTGCCCAGAGGGGCAGGGTCCTTTCTCGGCCATGAGTTACCGCCAAGAGCTCAGAAACAGCAATGTAGGGTGTCAGTTTCTGACTGGGAAATGGGTATATGAAAAGCGAGACAAACCTGTCTTTTGTTCAATATCCTTAAATGATTTTAAGATGCCCTCCAGTTGCCTACTCAGTTCTGCCTTCAGGAAGCCTTCCTTGACCAGTGCGGACAGGTCCTCGCAGAGTGCCTGTGCCTCTTTGATCTGCTTTGTCTGCTGCCCGATCTCCTGCTTTAGCTTCTGGGCCTCTTCCAGCTGTTGGTTCACGGCGTCAGGCAGCGTGCCTACGGCGAGGCTGCTGCCGAGCCTGTCATCCAGCTCACTCAGGATGCCCGAGAGACTCCTCAGCAGACTCTGATACTGTGTGCTTTTGACAATAGCCTGGTCAATCCAGTCACATCTGTCCCTCAGTTGTCCCGTCAGGTTTTCCCACTTCTGGGTCACGGCTACCAGCTGCTCCTTCACAACCCCGTGTAAAGAAGGGTCTTCCCCAGGTCTGCTCAGAATGCTCTGGCCAGCTGCTGTGAGCTGCTCATACTGAGGTTTCCGAGTGTCGAATTCTTGCAGAAGAATCTGGGTTAACCGTGAAAATAAACAACGGGTTGTGCAATTAATTAAAGAACACATAAACATAAGCATCCAAACAGACAGAAATGGTACTTACTTCTCTACTTGGTACTAAATTTTGTTTTAATGCTTTCCTACTTTTTTTGAGGACACTGCGATTATCTGAAACTAATTTAATAAGCCATGGTGCTAACCAGTTAACAATAATATCATCTTGTTTAAAATAACATCACTTTCTAAGGGTGAGAAGAATGACATAAGCTGTAGCCTGGGCAAATGCTCACTCACAGGAGACACATCTACTGAGCCCGCATCACCGATGCCATGTTTACCTTGCCTGAATCATGCTTTTCTCTTTGCTAGCTTAATAGTCCCTGGCACTCTACAGTGAAGAAAACGCAGTGGTGACTGCTTAGTATGCTCAAGCGCTTTAGGCTTACAGCGTTTTTTCTTTATAGTGGACTTACTTGACACTTACAGTCTTTATTATAAAAGTTTTAGACATAAATTCTTATGGCTCAGAATGTAGAGGCTCATCATGGCTGTCATTAGAAATGACCCCAAGATGCCTTCCTTGTGGTATACTTAATCTTTTATTTTATACTTTTTAATCTATTTTTGTAATTATTTACCTATTCATTTCAGACTGCTAAGACTGCAAGCAAATATTTCTCCAAATATTTCCTTTTTATCTTTTCATCTTCATTCTCTTTATGTTATGAACAGTTATGAAGCAGAACACAGAACTCTATAACGTGTATGGCTGAAGGAGGCCCTCTCCTCCCTGCTGAGGCCACCGCTCACCTAACGGAGACACAGCTGAAACCACAACAGACCGCGAGCTACTCTGCCCGACTTAAACAGTATGGATTTTCTTTCCCTCATGGGCTTTTCTGATGACTAAGACTCACCTAATGTACTGGCCTCTGAGATGCCCTTTGCTCTCTCAGTCTTCGTCCTTGCCCTCCCTTTGCTCTGCCTTCGTTCAGCACCGAATGCTGTGAGTCTAAGTGTCCGACAAAATGGATAAAGCCTCACAGGATAGTTTATGAACCACACTGAGTACACATAGCAGTGTCGCCATCACTCAGGCGATCACGTTCACCCTGGAGAAGTGCCTGTGGTTTAGCGGGCTTGCAACAATTACAATGTGACGGAACACACAGAGCATCAGCGCCACATGCTGGCTTTGGATGAATGCTGTGGCCACCTCAGAGCTGTCGTGCTCCGAAACCCCTGCTTTAGACAGTATGCCCACGGCAGGAAGGTCTGTGCTGGCTGCCTAACGTGTCTACACTGAAAATACTTGTTCTGCTTTGTCAAGGGGCTGCGTCCCAGCTGGCCCTCCGGCAATACTCACCTGTACCTGCTGCCTCTGGGTGTGCAGCATATTTGGGTCAATGGACAAAGGTCCGAGAACACTGACCATCAACTCTTTCTCCACGAGCCACTGTCTTAACTGGGCCTCTGTGGTCTGGAACTGAGTTAGATTGTTGGAGGATTCTTCCAGCTTTTGTTGCCTGTCTACCGTTAACTGGTTGAGTTCTTGCCACTTAGTGTCTGAAAGAAAAAGGAGGAAGCCAGCATTTGCTTTTTGTGCGTTTAATATCACCGCTGGAAAACTGTTAACCACGTGAGTCAAAATAGTACATAGTGGATGGCATCCCTTTCCCCCTTGGTATTAGGATTTAAACCTAGGGCCACCTGTGAGCTACATCTCCAGCCCTTGTTCACATCTGGTAACTCCCCTTCATATTAGTTCTAACTTAAACGAGGTAAGTATGCGAAATGATGTGGGCACTAGCTGTCAGATCGTGAGCCTGCCATTCGAAGATGTTAGTTACTAAGACATGTGGTCTGGAGAAATGAGCCATGACCACCTGTACTGTGTGCCTTGACCTCAACAGGGTTGGACTGGAGGGCATTGCATGAAGGGGTTAAGGTGGAGGGGAGTCGGGGGGAAGCAAGCACTGGAGCCCCGAACTATAGAAGACTATAGAAGTCTGCGGGGCTCTTTCTCTGAAGGCTTGCTTCTCTGTCAGGCTGTTCACAGCAGCTCTCAGAACGCCTACGGTGCTCATCCACCCCTTGGCCCTGTCATGTTATGTGCGTTTTCCCATTTGTTATGATGCACAGTTCCTCCAAATGCGCTCCCTCCCACCTTGCAGCCTGATCATGGCCTCCATGGGCCTGAGGCTTTTTTTCCTAATAATGCTCATTCTAAGTCTCAGCTTCCTCCTCCACTACCAACCCAACTTGCAGTTTCATCTCTGTTATAACATTATAGATGTGGTAATTGTGTATTAAGTAAATGAAACCTGAACCTCAGGTTCCTGTGATTTCACATGCTTTCTAAAAGTCCTGTGTACTCAATAAAGTGTGCGTGCATGTGTGTTTACTGGTACTGAACCTAGAGCTTTGTGAATACTAGGCAAGTTCCCTATTACTGAGCAATACCACAACCATGAGTCTCAAAACAAAACAAAACAAAGCCTCCATTATTTCTAGGCCAATGGCTTCCAGACTTGAATGTTTTCCCTCAAGTATTCTATTAAATTCGCTCAGTGTCAAACAACTATTGCAAGGCTACAGTGTGAAATCGCAGCAGCCCTGTGAAAGGACGTGTCTAACCTTATGATGGTGTCATGACACTGACTTCTTTTTATTTTAATTTTTTAATTATTATTTTTTTATTTTTGTTAATTACATGACACTGACTTCTAAAAAGTTCACACTTGAGAACTGGACAATGAAGTAGCAAAGAAAAATCAGACAAAAAAATGCCACTCATCATATTTTAAAAGTTTATGATTTTGTGTTGTACTGCACTCATAGCTATCACTGGGAGCATTAATTATATTCCTCTAAAGACTGATAGGTTTGTTCCTGCTTTTATATGTCTTTCAGTATATATATCCTTTTATATCCTTTCTTCCTTTCAGTAATTCAGAATGAGTTTTTAAAAGATTTTATTTTGAATTCTCTGTCTGTCTCTCTGTGGGCTGTGATGGGGTTATGTGAATGTGAGAGCAGGAGCCCTCTGAGGCTGAAGGTGCTGGATCCTCCTGGAACTAGAATTACAGGTGGTTGGAGCTGGCCGATTTGGGTGCTGAGACCTGAACTCAGGTCCTCTGCAAGAGCAGTATGTACTCTTAGCCACTGAGCCTGCAGGGATCCATGGAGTTAGCTTTGGCCTGGCTGCTTTGAGAGGCATGTGTCAGCGGGTTTTCAGTTAGGGTCCACGGCTCCTAGGGCACAGTGCACCTTCCATTTCCTGAGAGGGCAGGTCACTCCCTCAGGCAGTGAATGGATCAGTCTGCCTTGTGTGTCCCTTGGTAGTAAAGGCGGCATGGAAACTTGACAGGACAATTGGTCTTAGACATTAGTCTTCAAACTTGCAAACTTCACTGTAACCCTGGCAAGTACAACTGTATTGATCCTGGCATTTGCCACTATATTCTGATTCTGATGGCTCTCAACAAAACTGTCACAGCCTCGGTCTTGCTGTGGCCCCTCCAACCGAAGCCTTGTTTCATTCCTTGTGGCCATATCAGGTGACCATGGCCCAGTAAGTAAGTGCAGGCACTTACGATGGCCTCATGACCTCTCCTGCCACACCATCAGGTGTCAAGGCTGTCTTTGATATGCTCTACTATGGCCTACATCATGCTTTTCTCAGAGCACAGTGTTTCCCAACTCAGCTGCTACGGAACCAACCACACTGGCTTGATGCAGTAGGTCTGGAGTGGGGTTCTGCAAGAGGTGTTTATGGGTGTAAAGAGCACACTCTGAAATTACAGACATAGCTCAGCACTCTTGCAACTCATTCTCATATATAATATGTAATATATATCTGCTATTTTCCTACTGCAAGCCATTTGACTCTAAAATAATTTCCCTTTAAAACTAATGTTTTTAAACATACCACCCCCCTACTCAAATCCTTCAACTGATAATGCCCCATCATTTAGATGATAAAATCTGAAGGCATCTGCCCAGAACTCAGGGCCTGTCACAATCTGGCCCTGGAACACTCATCCTGTGGCGTTTATACCGAGACGAATCCTTGAATCTAGCCCCTGCAATCTTAATATTGTCAGAGCAGCTCAAGCTCACATAAGCCATACCTGGGCACCTCCTTGTGATCTCTCCTATCCCTGTTCATCATTCTGAGTGCCCCGGGATCTTAGGCTCAGCCAGGAAGCCGCCTTGCTCACCTTGTCCACAGAGCACTGATGCAAGCACCTAAAGCCACCTGTCTCTCCATAACTGCTCAGTGTGATTGGTTTATTTCAGAGATTTTGTGTGTGTGTGTGTGCATGCGCACACACATGTGCATACATGTGGGAGCTGAAGGACAACCCCAGCTGCTGTTCCCGGAGCCATTCTGTGTGCCTCTGTTTGTCTTGTTTTTCCTCTATGAGACAGGGTCAGCCCTGGGATGGCCAGCTTGGGCTACCATGTCTAGTGCTTCTATGTGGGTTCTGAGGCCATCCTGATGTTCATCAGTCAGACAAGCGCTTTACTGACCTAGCCATTTCATTAGCCAATTTTTCTTGTCACTTGGCACAATATACTACAGGGCAAACTTTAGAAGGACACAGAAGGTGACGTTTATTTAACGGCATCACTCTATACGTTCCAGTCCAAAAGAACCTGGGTAGCAAGACTGCTAACAAAAGCAGACAGGGTGGAGAAGTGTCATGAGCGCCAGAAGGCTTTTCAGGAAATGCACACTCCTCGCCCATACCTCTAAAACCTCTGACAACACTCTGCTCAAGTAATTTTGATATCCAAAGGAGAGCTGCGGATACAGGGCGAGGGAGTCTTGATAGCTGGCTTCTGTCTACCTTTGAACATTAAGAACGCTTTTCTTGTTTCTATGCTTATCATGCCCAATAATAAAGAGAAGATTTGAAATAAACATAATAAAATAACTGAAAGAAAAGCCATTTCAAGGACGAATGGAAACATGTCACACAGCATTCACCGTGGCTCCTACTTAGCTCATGGACTGAGAAGCCCTTTGAAGAAGATTCCACACCTACAAGCAGGTTCTACAGGGACAGTGAGGAGAGGAGGGAATTACCTCATGTTCTTTCAACATCGGTGGCTTGAGAGAAACCAAAGCTAAGGATACAGGGCTGAGGCAGCCCCAGAAGTGACCTCAGAGAGAAGGGAGCCTGCCTTTTCCAAGTGAGTGAGTGAAAGAAAATATAATGAGGCATTAAAAACTATGAACTAATGCATGAAAATAAACACTAATGGAAACGTTACTCAATGCTTAGCATTTTATTGTCAGCTACCCACCTTTTCCATGAAAACAACTAAGTGCCAATTCTCAGAGCCACACTCTTGAAAGGACAGATTCTCAAACTTTTAAAGAAAGCCCAAACGCAAGTGACACTACTGGGTGTTTTCTGAAAAGCCTTCTGATGACAGGGACAGCACCCTAGTACCTGTGAGCACGAGGGTGAACTCACCCATATCTGTAAGCGTCTGCTTCCAGGTCGGGGCCTCTGGGGCCTCTGGGTTCTCCTTCAGTAGCTCCGTCAGGTTGTCTTTTAATTCTTGCACTTTGTTAACATTTTGCTTTAGTTCTGCCTCAAATGACTAGCAAGAAAAAAAAGCTAGTTAGCTGCACCAAAGAATGACACCAAAAAACAAAAAGCACAATTATGCTACAACATTGCCTCCCCTCTGGTATGACCCGGAAAGAAAAACAAAACAAAACAAAACAAAACAAAACAAAACACCCAAAGTCAAATGCTCGAGTGGGTGAGGACGTGGATGATGCAGCTGATAATTCTTATTTTTATTTTGTCCATCTTCAGCTGTCACATACAGAAACCCCACAGAGGAATACTCTAACTACGGAGGTTAGAATTCTGCCACTGAGGAGAATTCCCTGCTTTCAAACTACTATGGGCAGAAAACGGGAGGTTCCCCATGGGTGCCAAACCACCCTGGCACATTAAGTTGCTTCAGGACTAGGCCCATCCTCTCCCACTGAGGCCAAACAAGGCAGCCCACTTAGGGGAACAGGATCCAAAAGGAGGCATCAGAGTCAGAGAAGGGCCCCTACTCCAGCTGTTGGGGGACATACATGAAGAATGAGCTGTGCATTTGCTACATATGTGCTAGGGGCCTAGGACCAGCCCATGCATGCCCTTTGGTTGGTGGTTCAGTCTCTGTGAACCCCTACGGGCCCGGGTGAGTCAACTCTTTAGGTGTTCTTGTGCAGTCCTTGAGCCCTCTGGCCCCCCCAATCGTTCCCCCCAACTCCTCCACAGGACTCCCCCAGCTCTTTCTAAGTTAGCTGTGGGTCTCTGCTTCTGTTTCCATCAGCTGCTGGGTGAAGCCTCTCAGAGGAGTTACGCAGGTAGAGTGTGTCAGGGATTGGCTCTCTCCCATGGGGTGGGTCTTAAATGGGGAGAGTCTTTGGTTGGCCACTCCCTCAATCTTTGCTCCATCTTTGCCTCTGGTATGTTATAAAAATTCATTACATGACAACTTGATGCAAAACTTTGAATTCAAAAAAATTATAAAAGTATTATAAAACTTTTACTGACATAAAAACTATTTTTTAGCATTTTCTATTATTAAAATAAAAATATAACTGATGCTTAAAGGACCTATTATAAGCAGATGCAAACTGTTCTCAGTGAGACTGCATCTGATAAGCAAATCAGCCTAGGTAAAGGCCCCCCAGAATTTGAGACTCTACTTGGGAATAAACACATGGTAGGATTTAAATACAGGCTGATAATCTGCATACATTTATGCCACAGTGCCACCAAGAAAAACTGCTTCCCAGTCTTGACAGCTACAGAAATACTGTCCATTAAAGAGGACAGTATTAGCTGTCCCACCCTATACTAAACAAAACAGGCCCTTAATACACTTGGCTTTTAGCTAAGTCTTTCCAGAGAGTTGACTAGTTAATATCCTAGACTTAAGCTGATTTAAAGATGGCAAAGCTACTCATACCCAGCAGCTCGCTCCTTTTTATAATGTTAGAGGACTAGAGAAGTGACGATTAATTGTCCCAATCCACAGAAAGAGAGATTTTAACAGAAACTCTCACTTGTTGAAGGGCCCAGGGAGAATTCAGAACAGGGCTCGCGGCCCCCAGGGTGGCTCCCATCCTCCAGGCCTCCCTCTGACCCTCCCTTCCCTGCGCCAGGCTACCTTGTTCTGCTCCACTTGCATCTGCACTGACTCCGCGTCTGTAGGCGTTGGTGTCTGGTGCCATTTGTTTGCAGTTTTGTTCATTTTCTGTAACCACTGCATCATTGTACTTGATTCTTCCTGAGCCTTTTGCAATTTGGAGAGTTTCATATTCAGTTCCGCTATTTTATCCTTGAGTAGGAGGCCCAGGTCTTCATAACTGTGGCTTATGTCAGTCATGTCCTTTTGAATAGATGTTATGCCTGGGAGAAGGAAGAAAAGCATACTAATGCATGTTCATGGCTTTGGAGAAAAGCTACAGAATTGAATTTATTGTACACAGTATTGCCTCCTATTTTGTCACTGTTAAGCCTGCTACAACAGACTACAGACTTTTTAGGACAGAAAGGTCACGTCATATGGCTAGTTAATGACAAATAACTCAAGAACATTGCATAGCTGTAAAATGTAGGCGGCAGCATAATGGAATCATAAGCTTGAACATTGTAATATATTTCTTGGGTACCGAACAAGTTAGATCAAATGCCAACCCCAGCAGAAATATATCCCAAATTAACAAGGAAATAAAAGCAAGTACCAACTGAAAGACTAAAGTTTTGTTTATCTCAGATGGACAGTTGTATCAACAAATTCATGGAGACTGTGACCATTTTAACTCAAGTTTGAGGTTTCAATATAATTATTGCACTCTAAAAAGACTTTCTTAAAAACATCAAACTCCGTTAATCATGAACCAGATAAGGTTACTATTCACCTTTATTTGCCAAGAAATCCTGAGTATTTGTGTCTGTTCCTTCACCATTTAGTATTACTCCACCTGCAAACAAACAAACAAACAAAAAACGAAGTAACCTTAGATTGCGCTAGTATTTCTACCCAACAGCTACGGATGCGTTAAACAAACCATCATAAAGAGTGGTCTTTTAAGAATGCCACTGCTTATTCTCACAGTCATGACGCGGTGTCTTACTTTGTACTGTTTATCAATTAATCTAGAGCTGATTCCTAAATTAACTTACATAGCCTCGTTGTTTATACTATAGTCACCTCAGTGATTAAGCCACTGGTGGTCAGAAGGCCCCCATGTATGTATGTATTAGACCAAGCACAGTGGCTGAGGAGGGAATGTCTGCTTTCCCTGATGACTCAATACTCTCTGTGCACTTTACACAGTGTTATCACAGGCTCAGCGAAGGCAGAACCATTTGAAAAGGCAAGAAGGAAACTCCTGGGGAAAAGCCGTAGCCAAGGCCCATTGCTAAGTTCGCGCTTGCTGACAGAGAGAACGCTGGGTGGTAGTGCCTAGGCCTGGGGTAGGGCTCTCCTGAATTCAAATGCCAGCTCTACTAATCATTAGCTGTGTGCTTGGAAGAGCCGTGGAACCTGACCTGTAGGAGCACTGCGGGCAGCGTAGATTAACCCACTTCCTCCCACACACAGGCTCATCATAGCTATTTATCTGTCACAGTCTTTTATTATCAGAACCATCTGGTATTGGCATGTTTCCATGACCACAATGTTAATATTAATAAAATCCAACTTTCTCATGCTAGCATCCACTGGCTGTCTATCAAAGCAGAGATATGTCCATACAAGCACAATCAACAGAAACATTAAAACATCTGACTTGTCCTTAAAAAAACAAACAAATAAAAACACCCATGTGTGAGGCATTTTACAAAGAAGTGAAAGCACCCTAGACTCTTCAAACTAATTCTTCAAAGTCCTAGCAAAGAAAACCAAGCAAGAGCATAGTTTTTATTCCAAACATAAAGCAAACAGGAGGAACTAAGATAAATTAAAGACAACAGACTTCCTCCTAAGAGAAATCGACTTGGCGTCTCGGGAAATCTTATTAGGGCACAGAGGAGAGAGCACTGCAGCAAATATAATAGGGGCATTCCTTGAAAGGGGATTAATAGAGTGGAATAAATGGCTGGTTGAGAGAAGTGCAGCTGGAATAGGAGTGCCACTCACAATGGGGGCAGCTGGAGGCCTGGGCAGATGAGATAAACCAGAGGGCACACACGCAGATACGAGATTGGCTTTCTGTTCTTCAACTTAAAAGCAAGACAAAACACCCCAAAAAGTGTGCCTTGCCCAAACACTGTATTCCCATTAAATTAGCCTGGGAGCCAACCTTCACATGGAAATCTGTTCTTTGGCTGCGAAGAGTGGGACCCACCATGGGGCAGGTATGTGAGTGTACTGGCGAACAGGCGGCAGAACCCGCCCGCCGCTTTGGGAACAAGCCGACAAGCAGACAAGAAGAGAATGCCGGAGAGAGAGAGGAGGCCACCTCGTCATCTTTCTTCCGTACCAGGAAACCAAATTCATTTCTTTACTACGTAGTATAGTGAGCCTAGACACAGCTCAAAGAGAAAGTCAACATCTCCATTTAATTCCAGCAAAAAGCAAACCGACTGGAACCTGACCAGTCCCTTCCTCAGCGTCACCTAATCCTGACCTGGTTACATTTTATTTGTGTTGTTTAATAAAATCAAACACGGGCGGGATTTAAAACTGTATTAGTACCGATATTTTCCCACAACAGATTTGTTTGTTGGTTTATGTGTGTGTGTACATAATACATGTTCCCACATTTGTGCCTGCACATGTGCAGGTGTGTTCATATGTGTCTGCTCCTGCATGTGCAGGCCCACAGTAGATGCTGGGTATCTGGGTTTCCTTCTCTTTATTTCCTGAGGCATGGCTACTCACCAAGCCCAGAGGTCAAGGATTTGGTCCGCCTACTTGAAGGATTACCGTGTCTCTGCCTACTGAGTGCTCTGTCTGTAGGCAGGCCACCATGCCTGCTCATGTATAAAGCATGTGTGTGCTGGAGATTCAAACTCACGTCCTCATGCTTGCCCACAATTCACCCACTGAGCCATCCATCTCCTCATCCTTCCGTGACAGATTTCAATGCGCTTTTAAAAATCATTTGTCTTAACTCTCTTACTTTGTACTTCAGAGGTGATTTTTTTTTAAAATTAATTTACAATACAAAAAATTACCTTGAGACATGCAGTTCTTACAGACTGGTCCTGAAAACCAAGCACATACCTGATTTGGCGGCTGCTATGGCTTTTGCAGGGGTAGCCACTGCACTGATCAGGTTACATAGCGAGACTCCGCTGGTGTTTGCTTTGTGAATTTCTGGTGCTTTCAAACTCCACTTTTCTTGTAATTTCTTTAAACACAAAAGCACATTATTTTTTCAGTCTTCCAAGTATCTTCAAGGTTGTACATGACAGTTGAACTTCTTAAGCATATTTTAAAGCAACAATGACTGTGGGCCCAGGTGACTGTTAACACTGTTGGTGGAGGCGACGGGGCAAAGCCCATTCTGTGTTCTGCCCCCCAGCCACAGTGGGAGCCAGGCTGCGTCCGGGAGCTACGGGAATGTTCCAGAGTAACTGTCAACTGTAAGTCTGTAGGGCTAGACCAGGTGCAGCCGCGTCATAAGGTATGTAACAGGACAATAAAGACAGACACGGGACTACACAATTCCAGCTCATACTGAGTTTTAACTAGCAAAATTTCAGTGAAGTTTTAAAGGCACATGATTTCACCCTAAGAAAATCTGGCACACTTAGCCATAACTTCTACGACTTACATACTATTTATGCAAGAGATCCCAATAACCTGTCTCCCAACACTGGTTAAAGTGATATGTCTGAGCTGGGGTAGACGTCATACATGAACACAAGGGTTTCTTACTACTTGGAGGGAAGGCATTAACAAAAGGATGGAAACTAAGTTGAGATTTGACAAAGACGAAAACTTCAACATTAGGGAGGTTAATGACTAACTGACACATCTTTTTTTATATATAAATCAAATTAACAAAAAGGTTATGTCCTTCCTTGAAATGATAGCCAGTTACTGATTTGCACAGATCCTATAGGGATCTGTGAGAGCGCTTGCTTGGTTTTAGACTAAACGACCCTATCTATGCCTCATGACTAACACAGGTGAACAGAAGTTAGTGTTAGGTCTAATGAGCCACCTTGGTTTCTTCCAGAGATTTTCGTAAGACCTCCACACCAAAAGAAGGCTTCACAGCGGGAACCTGCTTTGTTGTTTCTTTTATCCATGACTTCAGTGATTGTGCAAGGGCCTGGAAAGTACTCAGCTGCTCTTGACAAGAACTTAGAGCTTCTTTTCTAATGAACAAAAATAAATCAGAAGTTAAGCTGCAAAACCAGATGCTCCAAAAGGCCAAATATTAACCTGTGGTCATTATTTCCAAATTGAGCTCAACTCTAACAAACATTTTCAATGAACAGAACAACTCTTCAATACTTGGCTGAAGTTTTCTTATGTGGCAAATGAAATCAGCTAAGTAACTACCTGTTGATTCCTTAAGCAAAGCTCATAGAAAAAGAGGGAAGAGTCAAGAAATATGTAACGCACCCATGAAAGTACTCTATAATGCTACATAAACTCTAGCAGCATTGACAGGCCAATTTTATATAATGCTTAATGCCAGCATGCAAATGGCCAACAAAACAAAACAAAACACAAAAGCAAAAAGCAAATAAAACAAAAGCCAAGTATATGCTGCTAACCTGAGGAGAACACAGGTCATGTTAATGGATGATTGAACTCAGCATTTGAGTGATGTCATTTCTACTTCTCCCAAGAGCTGTAACCCTGCGGCTGCAGATTTTTAACAGGTGCTCACCCACCCCACCGGAGTCTCTACTGTAAACCCTACGGGCCTTTTTATCTGCCAAGCACTGGACCTATGAGGGCCATTACACTTGACATGTGGACGACCTGTGCGCACACGTGACTTCGAGTGCTGGAGATTAAGGATGTGCTTCAGCTGGACTACTAAGTGATGGCTGCATGGCTTTAATGGTCTAGGTTTTACCGAAATTTAAAATTAGAATAGATAACCTAGACTATGTAAGAAAGCCAAGAACATTTCTTCTGTGAGTGCGGTTCAGAAACAGAACCTGAAAGTTTTAGGTAGAGAGTTGTAAGGAAATAAACTGGATGAAAGATTAGCCATTTTGAAATGTCTTTTTGGGGACTCTTTCATACAGACTTCATAAAAGCTGGGTGTGTGCTCTAAACAGGAGATAGAAAATGTGAAGGGGCAGAACAGAGTCACAGAGAATCACTGGTCAAACTGTGCCCCCTGCCTTGTTCTTCATGGATTTGTGGTTCTTTGCTGGTATATTAAAAAGCCTATTAGGAACAATACTGAAATTCTGCATAGCTTCTGGACGGAGACCTCAGAGGAAGAACCGCTGCTTTGCAAGGCTATTGCTGTCTCTGTGAACAGAAAGGCAGCACTGGGTGCAGTGGCATACATCTGTAATCCCAGCACTCAGGAGGCAGAGGCAGAGGCAAGAGGAGCTCTGTGAGTTTGAGGCCAGCTTGGTCTACAAAGTGAGTCCAGGACAGCCAAGGCTATGCAGTGAAATCTTGATCGCAATAAAAACGAAAGAGAGAGAAAGCACAGCCCCCAGTGACCTGAATCTCTTCAGACAGCCCCAGTCCTACCGAGCTCACACAATGCTGCCCGCTGTTCTAGAAGCAGCATTCCGTTTCCCGCCTCAGCATTTTAGCAGATAGCAACTGGATGTTTGTGCTGTTGTGTTTTGCTTTTTAAGACAGGGTCTAACTTCAGTCCAGGTTAGGACCTCCAACTCTCTGTAATCCCCTTCAGCCTCATGAGTATATTTAATGTCCAAATACAGCAACAGTGTGAGACTCCACATTTTGGAAATCACCTCGGTCATATACTTACATAAGCAAAAGCACCTCAGCTGCTGAGTACCACAGAGTGGAAGGAAGTAAAGTTTTAGAGAGGCTCTTACTTTTCTTGGATAGCATCCTCCATTTCTTTGAATTTCTTTGACAAATTATTTGACTTCTCAAACACCAGAGCTTTGTCCCCTGGTAAGCCATGGCTGGATATCTCTTTCAGGAGGCTGTGTAACGCTTCGAGATCTTTCTTGTGTTCTATGAATTTAGCGGTTGATTCCTGCAAAGCATTCACATCAGTCAGTATAAATGCTGCTGGATTGTAGAGTCATATCCCACCAGAGGTGCTTATGGGAGCAGAATGGCTTGTGCACCTACTGCGAAACACTGCACAGACTATAAATGTAGAGGTCGGATTCCATGAGCCTTACACTCCGTGTTTTTGGCATGTACATTGACAGCTGGAACAGCTGTAGGCGTGGTATAAGCGGTTTGTTTCTACTCAGCAGGCAAATGCTTCAAGGAGAAGCAAGTATGAATCGGTTAGAATGAGGACGGTAGTTAGTCTGTCAACAAATGCGTGAGCTTGTCTTAACCAGCCGACGTGCTCGTGCCTAGTGGGGAATACACACCTGCATATACCGAGACAGCTCCGGCACATCCTTCCCTGGCACGTCCACCTCCGTGAGTGCCTGGCTCTGCGTCTCTAGAAACACCTGGAGCTTTTCTGAGAGCTTCTCAAACTGTTCTACTTTGGCCTTCAGCTCCACCATCTTGGCAAGCTTCTCCTTATGTTTCTGACTCGCTTCGGAAAACCGAGCGGACAGGTCCTTCATTTTGGCTTGCAGCAAAGAGGCCGTGGATGGGTCTGTTGTCTCTATGAACGTCTTCACCTTCTCATTCATGGCGTTGATGCTGCTCTGACGACCTGCAATATCCTGGTCCAGCATCTGAAATACAGCGATCATTGCATGTGTTTTCTAACCATGTCCACATCAATGACTCCTCACAGCATCGTAAGCTGGGACAACCTGTGACTGACGAGGCTAACAGTTGGAAACGAGTGACACGTTTGATTTTTACCCCCCCTTGAGGAAGCCAAGCCCAAAGCTCTTCAAGGGAGTGTGGAGAAGAGCTGTCTGGCTGCTTCAGAAGCACAGGAGGGAGGTGCTGCCCAGCGACCCCCTGAGACCCAACGCAGCCTGGGGATTAGGCATGTTCTTAATTTTTGAAAGGCTCGGCAGCAGCAAGATTGATCTGACGAACTCCCTGAGCAGCTGGCTGAAGCAGTGACAAACAGATTAGATACAACGTAGGCTTAAACCCTCCTTAATGAATAATGACAAGTATAGAAAGCCCTTTCCAAGCCCCATTGCAAAAAGTCATTTGCATTCGTTTGTACAAGCACTGCTTGCTACTTGGCTGTCTTTGCAAGCACCCCTCCTCATCTCCAAGCCTACCCATTCTTGAAGATCAATACCTCATTTTCAACTGCAAGCGGAATTCTTTCCTTTGAAAAGGGCCACTCACAATGCTTTTGCTGATGAGGTCCTGGAGCGCTGTGGAGTTTAAGGGCACTTGGCCTTGCTTGGCCAGTGAGCTCTCCACACTTCCCATCCAGTCCAGCATCTCATCCAAGCCATCCTGCACACTCAGCGAGCGCGTCAGTGTGATCTGCAGCTTCTCGTTCCGTTCACTCACAGACCTGGACAGATCGTCGTATCTCCCGACAATGTCATCTGCTCCAGACAGAGGCGCACAGTCAGCACAAAGCTCTGTCTGCATGGCTCCTTCTAAGATGTGCTTGAAGATTAACAAGTACGTTTCCATACAAAAAAGCTTCAATGACACCTTTCCAATGAATAATCAGATCACGTGTAACTTTTACAAACACATGAATTAAGTAGAAAATAAAATAGTCAAAAAAATTCACACGCCTGTCATTTGTACCTGGGAAGATTTTTAGACGCATAAACACGGGAAGGGTCCTGGAGACGTGAAAGCAAGGTCGGAACTGTGGGCCACTGTGATCACTATCGCCTCAGACTGACGTGTCAATACTTATTGGTAGCTTTTTGGGAGTGGGGAGTGACAGGCTCAGACAACTACTCTCCAGAGACAACATTCTGTCATAAATATACTTGTGTTCAGCTTTTGTCATAATCAGAGAGACTTGAAATGCATAGAAGTAAGAAGATGCGAACACATTAGGAAAGCAGGATAACAGTGTAAATCCACTGACGCTGGGATTACACCTCTAAAATATAAACAGAGCTCACTCGCAAGTTTAATAGAGGACAAAAGGGAAAACACGAGTTCACTAGAGCAGCCCATCTTCTATGCTATAGCTTTACTTTCAATTCTCAAGATTTAAGATGAAAAAAAAAAAAAAAAGGAGTTACTACCTTCCAGCCTGTATCTTTTTAAATTCAAACTTCTATGTTTTGACATTTGATATTCTACACTGTGGACCAATGACAGGGTTAAAGAACACTGCTAGTAAATTTCTCTTTTTCTTTGGAAAACAACTTACTTCTTGCGATTTTTTTTTTTTGAAGAAAACAATTTATTATAAAAAGGCTCAAAAAAGCATTTTGGCTATTTGTCAAAGTTTTACAAGAACACAATATAGAAGCTACACTTGAAACTGTAGCCGAAACAGCTCTATAAGTGAGTTCCATTACATGCTTGTGTTTGCCAATTTAATAGCAAAACGATTTCTTTCAAGTTGTTGCAATGCTACAATATAAGAATTCAGCTTAACAAACTCTCACTGAATTGGAATGCTTATGGGACTGAGCCAGTCATGGCCCTGTTGCTAAAATACAAGGAAGCCCACGACCATGCTGAATGGAGGACTGAATAGGCACCAAGATGTTATCAGCAAAGGAAAAGAATCAAGTTTCAAATGCAGGTGTGACTGCAGATCACAATAGATGCTTTGAATTGCAGCTTGTGATTGGTGGCTGAGTTATCCCTGAGGAGGCAGAGCTTATGCATCACCACGATGAGTGGTGACCCGTGTAGCCACAACGTATGATTGACACGCCATTCCAATAAGCTGTTCTCATGGTCTTCCTACACTGTGGGTGCTACTGTTATAGACTGCATGTCTGTGACCTCTGACACCCCCACCTCCATGTAATTAGGTCTAAGAGCTAAAATGGTGGTATCTAGAGATGAGGGCTTTGGAATCCTGTGTGTGTGTGTGTATGTATGTGTGTGTGTGTATATATATATATATATATATATATATCTGTATATATATGTATGTATATATATGTATATATATGTATGTATATATATGTGTATTTATAGTTTGATCAGTTGTGTGTATGTCATATATATAATATATAACCATATCTATATCTATATATGGTTTGATCAGCTCCTTGCATAAAATTTCAATACTTTGAAATTTCCTGAGCAATAAAAAGTACTTGAAAAATCTCTGCTGTGGTATTTGTCTCTTTGGCCCTGTTCCTCACAGAGTATTTAAGTGTTTCAGCAAGTCCTTCATCAGTTCAAGGCTAGCCTGAGATACGCAGCAAGCTCGTTTTTATTTAATTTTTAATCAATAAACAATCAGAAATATATATTTTTAAAAGTCATTTTTTACGAGAAATAAAAAAGATCTTATATAAATGTCCCTGTATCCTAAATAGTTTCACATATTCCTAGGAAGCAATGCCAGAGAGAAGCATGAAATTATTGATATAACTCATGGAATAAAAACATTTAACAGCAGGAAAAGCTAGGCATGGCAGCTCCTGCCTCAAGTCTAGCATTCAGGAGGCAAACGTGCAAGGATTGCCTTGAGTTCAAGAACAGCCTGGGCTACACAGTTACTCTCGGCAACCTGAGCTACCTTGCCATAAAAGGATGTTAAAAACAAAAAAATTTAAAAACACAATGGAAACCATCAAAATGCCTCTTCAACTAACAGAAACACAGTGAAGACAGTCTTTCTCCTCCATACTTCCAGCCCAGGTTCCTACTGCAGTGGTCTTCCACGTGGGCTTATAAGACAATATATAGGAACAGAATGCCTTAAAATTTTGTGGTTTTGGTTTTATAGTTACATATAAATATATATACCTTGAAATTACTTACTGATCAAGGTACATGACCAGAAACGCTTGCAAGTCTTTAAGAAGGAAGAACAGTTTAATTTATGTAGAGTGGCTTTCTCCTCACAGATGATTTCTAATCAGATTTTAACTGAGCTCTTTTTGGGGGAAACATATGACTAGTCACCTGGAAGATGATTTTATTTCATACACACAGGCTGACATCACAAACGAGAAACCTCACACCTGTGGACGCTTTCTCCTTATCTATAAAGCACCTCTATTACAAATTTGCTGGAGAGACAGGAAGCAAGAGCTAAGACCTTAAGCCAAGATCTCACCAAGTGTCTTCTGGATGTCATTTGTGGCAGGAAGTAACAAGCCCTTGGCATCCAAGAGCACTTCTGCAGTTTTCTTCAGCTTCTCCACAGCAACCTGCTGACTTGATATCTGCCCATGCAAAGCCTGTGGGGTTAAGTGGGTTTCGATTATATTCAGGAGGACTAATGGAGTCCCAACTAAGGAAAGAACGAGCAACTAAATTGGATAGACTAAACTGCAAAGCTTATTCTGGACTTCTGAGGATAAAGCAATTAGTGAGCAGCGAGCAGCCAGCCTAGACCGTGAGCCGTGGCATACATGAATAGGTCTCTTAACAGTCTTCCTGCTTTCGACTTGTAACCTGATTACTCCATGTTTTTTTCCTCATTTCCACTTTTGATGTTTCCTACAACACCCTTACCCCCAAATCTGTACCCCTAAATCCCAAAGCCCAACAGCAACAACAAAACTAAAACCCAGAGAAGTCCAGGACTATTTCTACTCCAGGTCCTTGAATCCATATTGTGTTGTCTGTACTTGTTTAATTCACCAAGTTGTTGAGCATCTCAAAATTCAAAAGGCTTTGCTACTTTCTGGGGGAAAAACAGCTACAAAGCTTACAAGAAGGGCTACATTCCAAAGGTAAGAGGAGGTGCTGGTGGAGATGAGCTAAAGGAAGAGCAGCAGGGACATAAGGACCAGTTAGTAGTGACGATGCCAGGCCCTGAATAAGCGGTGGAAATGAAAAAGCAAAATACTTCTCCATAGGATGAAAAGAAGGCACAGAAAGCCTGTGTGCATGCATATGTGTGTGTGAGTGAGAAAGAGAGAGAGAGAGACAGACAGACAGACAGACAGACAGATAGAGGGAGGGGAGATAAGAAAATATGATAATGAATGAATAACTAAGGCTGCAGAGGCCTTAAATGTTGGATACAGAGCTTGACATTTTGTCTGGTAGCAATGGAGGAACTTTTGGAGGCTTTGAGGAAACTGTTAAGTAAGGGCATATAGCAATGCAGGAAAAAAGAGAGAAGAAATGAAGTGAGAAAGAAAATGCCCTACTGAGAGTGAGGTAGGCCTGAACAAGGCAGCCAGGACTTTACCAAGGACGGAGGAGGCACTTCCTGCACTCTGGCTGCCTGCATAGGGATGGGAAGAGTCAAAGACCTGTTCATACTGTCTAAATCCAAAATACCTAACACAGAATGACTTACTGCAACTGTGTTTGACACTAAAATCAAATAAAGTAAAAAAAACAAACAAACAAAAAAAAAAAAAAAACAAAACTCCTCAAGGCATTAGCTACGTTTCCTCAGTGGCCATGGCTACACTGCTGGGCAGTGCCCAGGACAGAATGTCCACCCAGAGGGCGGCAACAAAAGACGTGAGGAGACAAGAGGAAAGAAATAGGCTGGGTTCTGTTGAGCTCAGGTAACTACCAAAATTTATACAGAGGTGAGATCAAATTTCAGACTGAGAAGACTTCGTTTTGGAGTTCCTGACTTCATAATGCTGTTAGGCTAGTACACAGGAGGAAGCCAGTGGGCTGGCGGCGCATGAGACCACACGGATGGAACCATGGAGCGCCAACTACAACAGCAGCAGACTGCTACAGCTGACAGTGCAGCAACTTCAGAGGAGGGAAAGGCGGGAAAGTGCATGGAAAATGTTTACATTGCTGTGATGGGGAGGGGAGACGGAAACAATGTGTCCACAGAGGTAAAAACAGCCCGGAGGAATTCTATACCCAAAGCTGGAAGACAGGGAGAAACTAGACAAGGGTTAGCTACCATAGGCGACTGACACTGACGACGTAACCGAGCTGAGCAAGGCCTTGCAGAGAGGTTCCTCTGGGTGAACAGGCGTGGTTCCACACTGGGTGTGAGGTAAGAAGGGGGTTGGAGCCTTCAGTTCCTAACATCCCAGACGGGTATCTGGCCACGTAGGTGGGCTGCCTCATAGGTCTGACAATGGTTCACGGAGGTCTACGGCAGCTCTCCTTATAACGCTCCACTCATATCTGAAAGACTCAAAGATCCGGAGGCTGGGAGATGGCTCAATAGAGAGAGAGCTCGCTGTGAGCATGAAGGACAAAGCTCAGGTCCCCAGAGCCCACACAGAGGCTGAGCGGGTTTGGTGACCCTTCTGCAATTCTAGCATTTGCAGAGCCAAGACTGGGGTCCTCAGGATAAGCTATCGGTATAGCCTAACTACAGCAGCCAGTGTAGTTCTAGCCAGTGACCAGTTCTCAGTAAGGAGGAGAGCAACCAAGGGAGACAGCTGGAACCCATTGCTGTCATTTATATGCACACATATGGATGGACACCTGCACACATGTAAGCACACACACACACAAGCACACGCCCAGCTGCTGCTGAACGCACCCCTGGCCGTGGGCCACAGCTTCTAAATGCTCCTTGGCTATTTCATTTGAGTGGAAATAGTGGCCTTAAAGTTCCAAACAGCGGCATCTGAGATCTCGTTCTCCACACTAGGCACTTCCTATCGGCTAACCTCTGAGGAGCCCGAGTCTCCTAACAGAGTCTATATGGTCCCTATTCTTCTCCACACACATTAATAACTAACAACCCTGCCACTTTGTCCCACTTAAAGGGTTTAATTTTTTTAAGTCAAACTCTGCTCTGTATTTCAAAGCACACAGACTTCTGAAAAGAGACCTCTACCTGAGAGCCTGACTCTGAACAGCGTCCCTGAAAGACCCGCTCACCTGTTTTACCTAAGACACACACATGACTATGACTATGCCTGCTTCGATTTAAACCTTTCAATAGCTTCCTTTTAAAACAAGCTGGAAGACTGGAGCATGCCATAAAGCCTCCAGTGAAATTTCTATCTCCAGTCTCATTTTTAAAAAATATTTTCTATTGCAGCAACGCCCACCAGCACACCCGTTCCTTGCCATTTACTGAACTCAGTGCTTTTGCACCTCTACACCGGCGGTGCCTTCAGATTAGCTCTTACTGAGACTTTAAACCTCCTTGGGGAGGCTCTGTAACATCCTCCACGCCTAGCCATGTTAAATACCATTCCCAAGAGTCTACAAATCCCTGTGAATGTCGTTCCTCCATTTGCCTCTGTTATTGAATTATCCTCTGCCACAGAGCAAAAAGGGGACAGCTTATTTACACCACAAGAGATAAAACAAAGATAAGGGTGCCCTGTACTCAGAGAGGTAGTCACTACGACATCATTATAACTGAATAATAGGGATAACTTACTCAACTTTGAGGCAAATACGCAAATTGTTCAAAAGTAGCCTTATACTGTTTAGAGTAGATTTTGTGAACCTCAAGTGGGAAGGAAGTCTGGTTCCAAGACTGTGACCTTGGTCTCTGTGGCTGCACCAGGAAAGAATTGTCTCTACAATGATGAGCTCATATTCAGTGCATGAAAACTTCCTGACATTGCACTATCCAGGAGACCAGCACAAGTTTCAAAGGTCAACATCAGACAGCGTGATTTAGAGCTGGTCCCAGATCCAAGTCTCTACACTGGGCTCAGATGCCCACCTTCTTATGACTTATGGGGCAAAAATCTGGTGACTCCCTCTAACTTCATCATAGAGCGTTGACACCAGTCAGTCAGCAGCTCCGCTGATGGAATGTTTGAAACAAAATACAGCCACAAGGTAAAAAGCTAATGTATAAAAATACTGACTTAAATGTTTACATTATTAAAATTTTTAAAAATTGAGATAGGTCTCATTCTATAGCTCTAGCTTGTTTGGAACTCTCTAAAGAGCAGGCTGGTCTCAAATTCCCCCAAATCCTCCTGTTTCTGCCTCCCCAGTTCTAGGACTGTAGGTGTATACTACCATTTCTAGATCTACTTCCAGCTTAGTAACTGTTAAACACTTTAATAAAAAGGAAAAAAAGAATAGGAAGACCGCTGTGGTATGAATGAAAAAGGCCTCCCATAGGCCCTTAGGGAGTGTCACATTAGGAGGTGTGGCCATGTTGAAGTTGGTATGGCCTTATTGGAGGAAGTATGTCACTGGGGGTGGTCCTTGAGGTTTCAGAAGCTCAAGTCAGGCCCAGTGTCTCTTTCTCTCTGCAGCCTTTGGATCCAATCTGGATGTAGAACTCTCAGCTCCTTCTCTGGCACCACGTCTGCCCGCATGCCGCCATGACAGCAATGGACCTACTCTCTGAAGTATAAGCCAGCCCTTTCCTTTGTAAGAGTCTCTGTGGTCATAGTGTCACTTCACAGCAATAGAAACTCTAACTAGGACAAAAAGTGCCTAATCTTCACCCAAGTTTAATCTTACTACATACAAAGATCATCTGTGAGAAAAATGTATCCAGGGACACTGTGAATCTGAGATTTACTCTTCCACTACACCATGGCCTAGCTTGTGTTCACTCTCTGAGCTACCCCTGCCTCTGCATCACAGACTCTTTGCAGCACTCACCAAGTAAGCCTCTCTGTTCCAAAATCCATGCCTGTATGTTTAATTAAATGCCATAGGGTTCTTTCTCTGCTTTTGCTCTAGATCCTAAAAATTCATTTCTATAAAGATGCAGCATAGTTACAAGGATCAAGCTTGAGCTGTTTCATTCTCCTGTAATGTTTTACTCCCCAATTACATGTCAGTCAACCCTAACAACTATTTTAAACTTCTGGCATTTCTTAGCAAAATCATGACCCTAAATATCACAGAACCTCCTCTGATGTCATCACATATTCTGTCCTTCAGTACATAACCAAGAGGAACTAGCCAATTAAGGCAGATCTGGAAAGAAAAGTAAACAGATGAACAGCAGAGCTGAAAGTGCACACTGGAAGCCAGCGGAGGAATTAAGCTGGGGAGGCTGGCCTAGCCCAGAGTACTCTCCTGGTACCTACTGGAGGGTAATGACAACGCTCTGGATCCAGACGGGACTGTGCCTACCCGCCCTGCACCTCCATAAGTCTTCCCTCTCACTGTCCTCTGCTCTTAACCCTTACATGGCCTGTGCATTAAACAAAACCAGGCTGCGCTCTCTCCGCAGCGATGCAGAGGTCCTAGAGACATCTGTGGTGTTCCTTTAGGCTACCAGACCATTGAAACAATAGACTCTCAAGACCTGGAATTTCCTGGGAAATCTCATGCTGGGAGAAGGGAAAGGCCAGAGTCCAAGTGCTAGCCAGAAAGCTAGAAAGCGATTTCCCACCGTTCCCACAGCTTGTCAGATCACCTAGTCTGAGGCTGAAGCTACGTCAGGGATGAGACAATAGTGGGCAAGAACATGCCCTGAGCAGGGCTTTAGCTATGCCTCTCTCTTCTCTGTCCATCCTCAAACAAATACTCATCAGGCACTTTGGGCCAGGTGACCCTCTTCATGTCGTGGTGAACCCCAACCATGAAACTACTGTCATTGCTGCTTCATAACTGTGATTTTGCTACTGCTACGAGTCATGATGAAAACATCTGACATGCCAACTGCCTTAGGCGACCCCTGTGAAAGGACTGTCTGACCCCTGATGGGGTTGCAGACCTACAAGGTGAGAACAATCGCTCTAGAGACAGCGCTACACACGACAGACAGAAACACCTGCTCTCACAGAGCTTCATTCCAGGGGAAAGGGGGAGGAAAACTAAGGAAGATGGTAGTGAACAGGTGGGCTGGGCTTTGTTGGGGTAGGAGGTAGGTGCAGTGGAATACAGGCAATAACGCAAAGTCAAACCAGTTAAGGAACAGTGAGACAAAATTTAGGGAGAGTTTAGCAGAGTCAGAGCCCTTGATGGGACAGAATAGTTCCCACACGCTTCCTCGGCCCAGAGTAAAACCATCACACAGTGTGGGGAATGGGATTCTGTCTTAGGCTACTCAGGGGTTGTTTCTCTTCCTCCCCCGCTCTTTACCTTGGTCTCCTCTAGCTGCCTTTGCAGGTTTTTGGGGTCCACAGCAATGGGCTCAAGTAGATGCTTGCTTGCTTTGGCCTCGCAGGCCTGGAGCCCCGACAGGAGTCCGCAGGACGCATCTTCATAGTGTTGGTATTTGTCCACCAGATCTTTGAGGTTATTCCCAAGAACACTGCACTAAAAACCAGGAAGAGAAGGGAGACTGAAACCCACTGATTTCTGGTAGTCATCTCCAGATGTATGAGCTGTAACCTGGGGAGAAACAGGCTCCAACCACAGTTGAGTTTTTTTCCCCTTTCATATGGAGAAGCCAAAGTAACTATAAAAATGAGGAGATATTTCTATACTTACAATGATTTTAAAAAATGAACATATTGGTGGCTGGCCTTAACAAGAATAAATCGCTGAACTAGGTAGGCTTACCAGGATACATTTCTTCAACTTTCATACCATATATATATTTACATATATATGAATTTTATGAAAATACCTTTAAGGTGCTTTCTCGGTCACTTCTCAGTGTTGCACAAGATCAACACAATGAAGCCAAATAACTCATGTGAACACAAAGCAAAATCCAAGCCTCAAAGGCACTCTTCCGTTCATTTATGCAGGTGGGTAAGTCTACGGAGTCTGTGTGCAAGCAGGCAAGCATGTTCTTGGGTCCTCTCCCTCCCCATGTTGAGACAGGATCTTGCTATGTAGCCCAGGATGACCCGAATCTACAATCCTCTGGCTTTTGGAGCGTGCACATCACACCTAGCTTACAGTTTTTTTTTTTTTTTTTTAACAAGACTCTTAATTTCCCAAGGTCATAAAAGAAGAACACATGGCATTAGTCATTAACACTGAAAATACACTGATCAAATGTATCTGTGGGACAAACAGTCCTGTAATATGTGAAGGGAATCATACCACAGGAAACCTCTGTCGGTATCCACCCGAGGCTGAGCCCTCCTTCCGCTCAGTTAACATGCCCCACCTGGTGGTCAACTTTGGTACTGCAGAAACTGAGAACAATTTCTGGCAGACCTCTCTGGAAACCAAGTTAACCTCAAGTTGATAATCCTCCACACACATTTTTCTGAAGTAGGAGAGATGAATAAGACTACGATTTCCCCATGTCTATGTTTATATTTATATATTTTTTACTTCGAATTCCGAATAGGACAGGTAGAAAACTAACCTCTACTCAAAAATAAGTAAAAGGAAAATAAAATTACCTTGGCGTATAGAGACCGAAAGCGGTCCGTGGCCTGATCCAGTTTAGTCTGAACCTCTCTGTGGGCGGCGGAAGTGTCGATGCTGTCCTGGTCAAGCTTGTCGCCGTCTCTCCTGCTGCAGGATCTGGCAGCTTCCAACACCCTGTTCCCGGAGATGGTGATGTACCTCAGGTCGCCTTTGTGCGAGATGACGTCCTCGGAGAAGCTCTTCTGCCTCTTGAGCTTGTCCTCGAGGCCGGCGAGGTCGTCGGCGCCTGCCTCCAGGTTCTCCAGCTCCTGCTCTGCCTGCTGCAGCCAGTGTTCGAACTCGCCGTGGTCGGTGTCGAACTTCTCCAGCTCCTCCTGCAGGGAGTGCGTCAGCTTCATCTTCTTCTCGCTCCCAGCCAGCGCGGCCTCGTAGTGCGCCTTCAGCGCCTGCGTGCTCCTCTGCAGCTTCTCCTTCTCTTCGGGAGACAGATAGTGGCCCTGTTTCTCCAGCAGCGCCTGCGCCGACTGCGTGGCTAGGATGACCGCCTGGTGCCGGGCTGCGATCTGCTCGTGCTGGGCCTGTGTGGAGACAAGTCTGTCGGTCAAGCCACAGGTCACAACCACAGAGCCGCCGGGGACCCTATGGCCTCGGGGTGGGTGGGCGTGCTTCCAGGACCCAACCTGCTTCTCAATGCCCTTCTCAAGCTGCCAGATACATATTCTTAAAAACAGCGAAACAAGAGCATCCTATTAGAGGGCTCCACTCCAGCCGAGGGAGCATTGCTAGGGGTTCAAGTCCACTCTGAGGCACGAGAGCCAAAGGCGCTCTCAGGAAGCGGTGCTGCCAACATGTCGATGGCACACAGGGCCGCTGATGGCCTCACCTCCCGGCCTTTGGCATCTAAGGTGTCTCCCCCCAAATCCCCGTCTATAAGAAATTTCTGCAAATGTGCTGCTCAAACGTGGCACAAAAGGCTAATGGCCCCAAGCAATTGTGTCCATTTCTTGTAATGGCCTCCGCAAGCCGGAGCCGGCTGGCATCACAGGGCTCTTTTGGCTACACCTGCTCTCTGCCTGCTCCCACCTGTCCCCACCTACCTGGGTAGGCACCCTGCTCCATTTTCTCCTTGTGTTTGTGCCTGGTGGCAGCTGTTTCAACAGATACCTACACAGCTGCCTCCACGCCCTTTGAGTATCTGTAGAAACCCCACCACACGGTTTCATCCTAATAACTTGATCTAAATACTGAAGACGGAACCGAGTTTCACTCACTCACTCTTGACTGACTCAGTGGGACCCTTCCTCCCGTAGCGCCTGCTACCTTCCACCACACCGTAGGACGTAGCTATTACGTGATCCTCGCTCCCTTGGTAGGCAAGCACCAGGATGGAATCCCAAGCGCCTACAACAGCGCCGACTCTCACCAGGGCAGAGGGAGAACGCCGGCAGATCAGCGATAGGCTTAGAGCCACGAGCGGCCAGCCAGGCCTTGCCCAGCAGCCAGTGGGGTGCAGATCTGGGCACATTTACATTCTCACTATCGGCAACAGTGCCCAGCACTTTCTGGACTGATGATAAATATTTTTGTTTAAACAATTTTCTTCCACAAACTGGGTCTCTGGCATTGGAACTATGTTCTTATGCTCCTCTCCATCAGGGCTTTTGCCTTCGGAGAGGATGGATGTACAGAATACCCTAAGTCACGCGATTGGTGTCCTTCCTTTCCTACATGGGAAATATTATGCTGAAGGGAGGAAGAGGCTTGACTGACCTGGGGCCGGCACAGTCGCAGGGGGTTAACGCGGGGCCCCTGGTTGTGTCCCCACTGAAATAGCAGCCTGGCTCTGAAGGATTCTCGGTCTCGGAAGAGCTCAGAAGGAAATGTTACACCCTGGACCCTGGCTTGGGTGACCTCCGCATTCTCAATGATCATTTTTATGACTTGGGTTAAACTACCACCGCTTCATCACTTTTCAGTCATAACTCATCAACTTCCTTTGGGAGTTCATGCTGCTTTTTTTTTTTTTTTTCTTTTTTTTTTTTTTCATTTTAAACAACAGTAACAGTGAGAGCCTGCTCCTAAGCGTTTGGAAAATGTGAGCATGCTCACTGTTCGGGCCGAAGTTACATCTTCTAGAAACTCTCACTGCGGATATCCTCCCGGCTCCTAGGACAGTCAAGAGAGCTGAAAAGGCCCCTCAAGGACAGTTATCAAGCAGTGACTCCTACAAGACTCAGTCACGGAGACAAACCTGTCAACTCGGGACACCTGAACGGAACACTGCCTTTGCTCTGGCAGTGAAGGCACAAGTGACAGCTGCGACACCTGGGCCTTCATGCTCCAAAATGGCCTGTGCCACCGCCTGAGAATGATGGGGGTTCAGGGCCATGCAGCATGCGGGTCTGTAAACACGCAGCACAGTGACCAAAACTACGGCTGAGGCTGAAGCCAAACTCTAGCTGTAAAACATGTGCAGCCTGGGCGAGCTCCTTCAGGTATGTACGCTGCAACTGTCTAGAAAACGGAATCATAAGACCTCAAAGAGGAGCTGAGGAGACTAAATGAAGTGGCCGGAAGGTGCTGGCCACCGTCACTGCTCCAGAGAGGTCGGCTATCTGCCTCCTTCCTGCCGTTCCTTTTTATTTTTTAATTTATGCACACATGCCTGCTCCAGATGACCTTGGAGGTGAGCTGGAGTTACAGGCAGTCGTGAGCTGCCTGGTGTGGGCGCTGGGGCCTGAACTTAGATCCTCTGTAAGAGCAAGCTTCCTCAGCCAGCTCTCCAGCTCTCTTCCCTTTCTAAATCAGGGCTTCAGCTATGCACAGAAGCCGAAGCCAGTGTGCACTTTTTACTGTGTTTACTTGCTTAGAACCTACACGGTGATTTATACTTGACATAACAAAGACCCTGGGGAGGGGAAAGTCTTTATTCTCTGTGGTCAGAAAGGCTCAGTTTTCTGAGCTGTTTGATTCTTTATTGAGCACCACTTAGACCTGTAAGTGGCACACCTTGACTTTCTGGTACTGCTGGTTCAGATTCTCCTCGGTGGTCCCACCGTCCCCTTCAGCATCCGTCTCCAGCAGGTTCCCATTGACTGCATCCTCCTCACCAGCTACTGACTTGCCATCACCTTCATGCAAATGGGTTCCGTTCTGCTCGATCAGCGGTGTGTGCTTCCTCCCTGCCCTTTCCGAATCTTTCTCAACGTTCGTCAACCAGTCCAAAAGGTTTTCTATTTTGGTTTTGCTCTCTTCCAGCTGCCTCACAGCTGCAACCTGGGTAGGGAAGGTTTGTAAGTAGACAGGCGTGGCTTAAGCTTACCACATTAAAAAGAATAGCTACTTAGGTAATCTTAAATTATAAAAACTAACACATATTAGAAATGGATGGGAGTTAAACCTTAAAGCGACCAGCAGTTCCTCTACAATGCCTTCAAACAGATACTTTGAAACCTGAACCATAGTCGGCGGCACTTCTCACACCCAAAGTCTCTCAACTGGCTTCTGCTTATAAAATGATGCAGCAAAGCCAATTCTTCCTAGCTTTGTATCTGGTAATTATGTGCCCAGAGTCTCCGCACTCTAGTTCCCAGTGCTAACCACTGCTCGGTCGGTACCACTGGATACACTTAATAAAAGCAGGCAGCTAGTGAGACAACCATCTCTGGCGAAGCAACAGTGTACCGTACAGTCAGACAGGTACCTTTTCAGTCTCTTCCTTGATGGCCGTCGTCACTGCCTTATCCAGCTCCTTTCTCGACTGTTCTGCCTTTAAGTTCAGCTGTTCACACTTTACCTTCGCCTCAGTTAGTTTCCGCTCAATCAAAGCTTTATCTTCTTGGGACAACTCTTCGCCACTCTCTTTTAAAAATAGTTGCGTGTTTCTCACTATTTCTGCCAATGCCTGTGTACTTCCTTGCATATCCCTCTGTAATTCCTTAAAACACACACAGAAAACAGGACACTGCTGCATCATTCCAACTCCTGCAGAACTGTAATTGTAAAAGAGAGTTACCCCAGCAAAGAGACTGACAAACACAGCTGGAAAAGCAGAGAGTGTGTGATAGTGTGAGTTGGCTTAACTGCACTTTAATTTTCAAGTAATTTGAAGTCCCAGTATTAAAGCTGTATGAGCCTTGAAAGGTTAATGCTTAAGAGTGAAACATTTGTGAAACATCGAAAACATCGAGGCATTCATATATGAGCTGCACAAATTTGTGTGGTGTTTGCATAAGCATGTTTACAACATAAATTTGTGGTGATACTCTATTTCTGAACACTGATACATATTATTTCCGACTGTGCTTACTCTGTGGCCTAGGCGGGCTGAGAAAGCCATCCTCCTCCTTCACCTCCCAAGTGCCACACTTACAGGCATATGTCACCCCACACGCAACAGAGCCTTGACTTTTAATACTTATCTATTTCTCAGGAAAAAACAAAAACAAACAAACAAACAAAAAACCCCCAAAACCACAGGTTCCTCAGTGAATTGTGACTTTTTCTTTTTTTTAACACTGGGTTATATATGACGTAGTGGTTGCCTCTCAGCCCTGGCTACTAGGACTCTTGAGACTAAGATCTCTCTGGAGTTAAGAGCTTTCCCTTGCCTGAGCGGTAAAAATTTCCCTCTGTGATCTTCACTCTTAACAACAAGAGAATTCTGCTTTTATGCCTTTTCGTTTTCTATAGTATACCACTTCATCTGGACAACGCCTTTCTCTGTACGCCATCTTGAGCTTCCTCGAGGTTCTGAGAGTGTGGCTTGCATGTGAGCCTGTACAGTAGGCCACTGCGGAGCGCCATTCACTGCAGAGATGACTTGATGCACATTTACTCGGCTTTAATAACAATGTGGCAACTTAGTGAAGGAAGCTGAGGTCGCAGGCGTGACGAACACTGAATCTGAATCAAAAGCTACATACGTGGCTCTCTTTCTCCTGACACCAGAACACAGATTTTCTTATCTGGCATTTTGTTATTTTACCTCTTTTCCTTTGATAAAAAACAATAAATTACAGGAAAAGACCCAAAGAACAGGAAGAGAGTTAGTACTGTGCTAAGAAAGAACTCAGGCTGAAGCCTATTTCTCCTGATTTGCAACTGAGTCAGCAGGCCATAAAAGCGTTCACATTGTAATGCATCATTTGCCCCCTTGGCAAAGTATGTCACCAAAAATGTCAAGGAAAGTACACGGCCCGCTTGAAGTTTTAAGTCTAGCTTTTAGTATAAAGTGTAAAGTTCTTTCCCAGAGCCTCTGGGTATGCCTTTGCTTCTGATACATCTAACATGTTTCCGGAAATCCCAGTGGCCTACCAGAGCTCAGAACCAACCCTAGCAAGGATGGACAGCTGTAGCTACGAAGGTCTACCTCTTGCTTCAGCTGGTACTTCTTTAACTCCACCGTGCCATCCCCAATCACAAAGGCCTCTTGGTGACTGATCAGGCGGTTTTCAGTTTGGGTGAGGAGATCACACAGCCCTTGGAGTTTCTCTTTGTACTCTTGTTGACGCTCTGCCACCACCTAAGATGGAGAAACCCAGAACAGCTGCAGTGGCCAACCTTCCATTCGCTTCTAACCAAGCCTCTTAGCAGAACACACCTTTCAAATGCCCTCCACTAAGCTCTTAAGTATGCTGTAAACATGATAGCATTGGAGTGCAAAGTGGGCAAGGACAGACAGACAGACAGACGGTATGAGCATGACCCATGTACACAGAAAGAGCCTGTTTGAGTGCTGTTGCTCAGCAGCTTGTATGCTCAGCAAACTGGCCATGCATATGCATAAGAGACTGGAACTTCTGATCGACAGGAGGAAACATCCCATTTTCTTAAGCTCTTGAAACCTGCGACACACACAGTTAATTCTGCAAAAGGACACCAAAAGAGAAGTTAGTTGTGATTTGTCAGTAAACATATGGCTATGTCTATTTAGGTTATCATGCTACACACAATGCCTGGATGCCTCAAGAATAAAAACCACATTACATGCACTACCTTTATTTCCTCGTTATGTTCTTTAGTCAGTACTGAGTTCGTTAAATCTGACAGATAAGTCAGAACTTGTATTTTTTTCCCCATTCCACACACACTCATTATCTAGCTCAGAGCAACAGCAAACACGGATTCTGTTGACTCGAGGCTCGGCAGAGGCCAGGCACAGGGCTGTGTTTCACATGACTCACTTTGTCAGTGTTCACAGCACTACCCGACCAACCTTACTAATTCACTAACGCGCGGGGTGAGGGTGAGTGAGCTCACTAAGCCACACAAAGTAGGTGAACTGGAGCATTTTGGACAAAAGCTGAGGCGAGCCAGCTCTAGAACAAGTACCCCTCTCCTTCCAGGGGGAATCATAGTACCCTGAACCTTCAGAGCTAAACCTTCATCAGTTACTCCTAGGCACTTCTGAATGCTTTCTTGCTCCCACTTTCTGGGAGAGAATGAAGACACTCACCTAACAAAATGCTGTTAAGAGAACACCGACAAGGATCGTGAGACCACCCATGTGGAAAACTATGCCGTGACCCACCCCAGGGATTCCGCTCGGCACCCACTCCGCCACATCCAGAGCACCTCCCTAGGCGGCCTAAGTTATGGCTTCACAGCGGACACAGAGAGCAGGGAGCACACTGCACAAGAAAGGCAAACCTTCTGATGACCGAGCTCCTGCTCCAGCCGCAGGTGAGCCTCCAGCCGGCCCGCCTTGGCCGTCACCAGCTCCTGCGTGTGGAGGAAGCACTTCTGGGTTGTACTGAGGAGTCGCAGCAGCTGTCTGCTCTGCTCGGGAGACAGGTCTTGGGTGCAATCAGAGATGAAGGACTGTATGTCAAAGGCCGTCGTCTCCAGCTGCATTTTGGTGTGTGCGAGATCTCTCAGCACAGTCTGTGAATAAGAAGCAGTACAAGTTGCCAGGGAAGGTACCTGCCGTGAGGTTCGAGAGGATGAGTGACGCTGAGGTACACATAAATATGACCCTTCTACCGGCACTGAAAGGCTTAATGAGCCTTTCTCTGTCTCAGTCAAAGAATCTACTTATTCATCATTTGGTGTAAAAAAAAAAAAAAAAAGTGATTTTCGCATTTCGTGTGTGTATAATGCGTGTGCGTGTATGTGGGTGAGTGTGAGTGTGGGGAGGTCAGAGGACAGCCTCGGTGTTGGCTCTTGCCTTCTGCTTGCTTGAGACTCGGCCTTTCTTTCACTGTCACGGCTTCCTTCAAGCTAGCTGGCCACAAGTTGTCGGGGATTCTCCCGTCTGCACCTCCTATTTCTCCACTGAAGTACTCTGCTTCAGATGTGTGTCACCCACTCAACTTTACACTGACTCCAGGGATTTAAACTCACACCCCATCCTTGCACAGAACGTGTGGCAAGTACTTTATATCCTAAGCCATCTCTCCATCCCAATAATAAAGAGTTTAAAGGTGATGTTGGTTAAAATATAAACAGCCCCAAGAGTAGTCTTTCTTTGCCCGATTTATCATGCTTAAAATGCAACTATATAGTAAAACAAAAAACAAACAAAAAACCCAAAGATCCAAAAGGTTCATTCCTCACAGTGAAAGGGACATTAACATCACAAAATAAATGCTAATATTTACATTATTTACATTATTCTTTCAATCGTGGTAACACATAACAAGACCACACGGAAAACAAAGTATAAATTAAACAGGCTATAATTTTAGTTTTCAGATTCTTAAGCGAGGAGCCCAAGTGTTCATGGAAATGTTCAAATTAAGAGTCTGTACAGAAAAATTCAGACTGAAATTTATTAGCATACCAATATAACTTGAGGTATTGTACTCTGACCAGTTTATAGTTATCTTATGTTTTATAATTCATTTGTGAAGGCCACAAAGACAAATGTTAGTATGTCAGTGGTGGCGAGAGTTTGGTGTGGTGTATGGTGTAACTTGTAGAGTTAGGTCAACTATGGAAAGACATTTGCTCAAGCCAGAGACAGCAGATAATCCCTCCGAGTCAATACAAACTCCGGGGGTTTGTACTTGTCATGAACACGTCTCGCACTGAGCACACAGGGTCTATACTCTGTCACTTGCCTTAAGAAACTCTAGAGCCTTCTTAACAAGAGCAGTATCCTGGACGTCCACAGTTTGAATATCCTTCACAGATTTGCTTTTCTCTGATACCCAATCTGAATATGATGTAAGTTTGTGCAGGAAGTCTTCATGACGAACTGCCAGCTTAGACTAAAAAACAAAATTACGGTTCATTTCTTTTTGTCCCCCAAATTTCAAAGCCCTGCAGTGATTCTGTTTGAAAAGTTGAGAACTGTAAAGATATAATAATTAAATAAAATACCTCATAATACACTTTAAATTCTCAATCATATTTCACTCAAAACTTGTCATTTTATGCTTACCATTTCAGAGTCAATTGCAAGTGTGATCAGTTTCCTTCTTTCTGAGCACATGCTGCTGAGAGACAAGAAGGCATTCTGTAAATCTCCGTGGCTTTTGCTCAGTTCTTCGTGATGTCTTCTGGGAAGGTCACTGGGAAAAGACTTTAAGAATTCTTCTGCCAGCTTTAGATCTTTTCTTAATAACACAGCAATTGGAGCCAATCCCAACTCGAATGTCTGCAGAGAAATATATATTTACTACTTAGCAGAAAGCACAAACTCAAACACAAAACATGAGAGCAAAGCTCTCTGCTTCTTGTAAATCATGCATTAAATGGCACTATCCGTGAACCACAGGTTTCTATAGCTGGGCTCTGAATGTCTCCCAAGGCCCAATGCTTTGGACCTCAGCTTGGTGCAGCGGAGGAACAGAAACTTCCAGAGGTGGATTTAGTGGGGGAACCTCAGATCTCTGGAGTTGGTGGACTCTCACAGGGGCCAGGGCATTCCAGTTCTTCTTTCTTCTTCTGCCTTTCATTTTGAGGGGAAGAACTACTTTGCCATAGACTAGATGCAACAGGATCAAGGGATCATGGGTTATAGGCTCCAAAACCATAGCCTAAATAAACCTTTTGTTTAATTTGAATAATGCTGGGGAGCTGAAGATCACGTTTGCAGATAACTCTTACCTCAAACTGCTTAAGCCGACTCTTCAAGGCTTCTAGAGTGTTATCCATAGATGCCTGGCTGTCTAAGGGGGGCTTCATATCTTGAAGCAAAGCCAAATATTCATGCATTTTCTCAGTATGTTGCAAACACTGTTGTAACTCACTGAAATACTAAAAACAAAATTGAATACAGTAATTAAGCCTTTATGAAAACAATTTTAATGCAAACAAAATATATGGGATTATCCCCACGTTTCCTGCTGGAATTGTCATGGAGAAAAAATGCATATGTCAACTCACTTTTTCCTTTGAGCTATCATCAGAAGCCATTTCTTTTGATCCCAAAATACATTGTGAATGGCCTGGGGGCTCACTGCATAGCTCTTCAAGTGTCTCGCCATTTCCTGGCCATGCTGCGGGGTGCACACTGGGGTGTTCCATTTCCATTTCTCTCAAGGTCTGTGGGCTTAGGGAACAGTGATTTTCTTCTTCGCTCTCTGGATCCCTGCGGTTGTACGGTTTTTCTTCTGCCATCTCAGGAGTAGCACATGGTTTCTGAGGCGAGGATTCGGCCTGTTCTCTTTCTGCTGCATACCCATCAAAGAGCAGCTTGTAAAAGGCATTTTTAAGTTTTAATTCAGATGCAGTGTCTCTTTCCTCTGTACTGCACTCTATCTGAGTTAATGCTTTCATCAACTCAGATGTGCCTGGGGTTTCTTGGGTGAACTGCTTTTGCTTCAACATATCAAGAAGGCCCAACTGAAGTCTTGTAACACAGAGGGGATCCTCTCCACTCTCTGCCTTTGGTTGTGATGAGCTAGCCATGGCAGAAACGTCAGGACTGGACACGCTAGATACTTCATTTGGCAACTGAGACAAGATAACTCTCTTAATGAAGTTCTGAAGAGAAATTTTAGTGCCTGTGCAAGCTGAAGGGTCTCCAACCTCTTGGAGATTCACATGAACTTCTTCTAACATGTTCTTCAAAATAGCTTTTCCATCTTCCACAAATGCCAGAGACAACTCAGGAATATGAACTTCTCTCTCTTGGGGTCTTAGAGATGAGGCTTGTTCTCTGTGTGGGTGTTTCTCAGTCTTTTCCACACCTGAAGTGGTGTTGGAGGTATTTTTCACTCCAGTCATATGGAGCCTAGACTCCACAAAACCAGTATTTTCTCCACAGTCCTCCACACTTTTAAGAAGTAAGCATGACAGCGTGGTGTCACCATTTTTTGGAGGTAACGGAAGAACTCCTGTTTTTCCTTCTGAGATACTTTCCTTGATAGAAGTGTCACCTTGTTGGATCTTGGCACCTGGCAGCCAGTCTTCCTGGGGAATGATTGCCTTTTCCTCTGCACTATTTACTGCATATAAGTCATCTTCCATGGGAGAGGAAACTAGGATATTTTTGGTTAGTTCCAGCACATCTGCGTTTTTATGTTTATCACTGTGTTCTAAAGAGGTAAACGGACTGTTCTCTTTCTCCAGCCCTCCACTGAAGGAATCTTCTTCCACATAGCTCCTCACCCCAGAGGATGTTACACCTGAAGTCAAGTCAGCATGGGCCTCTTTAGAAACTGAGCTGTCAAATATTTCTGCAAGAGTCTCAAGCAGAATAGGACTTTCACTAACCCTCCTTTGCACACTCTTTGGTTCACCTCCAAAAGCCACCGTCGCTGCTGTCTGGTCTCCTCTGTGTTTAGGTTCCTCAGAGTTCATCAGCAGAGGGGGAAACTGAGTCTTACCAATGCTGAGGCTCTCTGTTGCACTTTTATTTGGAGAAGAGCTGAGATATCTTTCTTCTTCTTCTTCTGGGCCTGCTATCAGCCCTTCTTCTATCCCAATGCCTATTTCCTGAATGGATGTTTCATGTATCAACTGACCGTTTCTGCCATCTCTACCTTTAACCAGACCTCTTCCATTCTCTTGCTGACCCCTGTCATCTAATGTAGGTGATGAGTGTTTTTCCTCAGGTCTTCCTACTAACTCAGTTGCAGAACAACCTACTTTATCAAAAGAGGGACTGGTTTTTGGTGATACACTCTCAAGACATTCGTCTTCGGCTTTTAGAATGTTTGTAGATACTGGCCCTTGAACCAACTTGACTTCTGTGCTCATTCCATCACTTTCTAAATCAGAAATCAAACTGGTATTATTTGGTAAAACATTTTCAAAGCCCAAGATTTTTTCTGAGGCGGAGTCTTCAGCATTAGACAGCAACACGTCCACAGTTTCCACATGATTAGACAGACTTCCTTTGTCTTCTTCATCTGCTCCAGTCCTCAGTTCTGGATGGTTGCTTCTTTCAGCGTCTGGACCTCTCATACCAGTTGCTTCTGTCTGTAAGACACCAGCGTGGTGTTGCTTTCCTGATGGACTACAAATGTGCATTTTGTCTAGGAGAATCGTGTTACAGGTACTTTGGTTTTCATCCCTGTGTTCTTTTACAGGAGTGGCAGACAATGAGGGCTTCCCATTCTCATCTTCTATTCCTTGTCCTCCTCCTCTGTCACCACCATCTTCACTGCTGTATTCCTCATTATGAATATCACTGTCACCATCATCCATGTCAGTACTGTCACATATATAATACCTGTCGCTTTCTTCCGTGGAACCTATGTGATCAGTGTCAGACTGACTTTCCTGGCTACTGTCACACTCTTCTCTCCTCCCTCTCCAGCTATCACCGGGCATTAAGGAAGCTCCTAAGCTCTCTTTCCTTCCTATAATGTCACCATCACTCAACGAATCAGATTCATTATTCTTAAGGTCAAGTGGGTCTTCCCTTTTGGCTGTAGGTTCCACTAACTGTACATTCACCTTGTCTGGGCCAACTGAACTGAACTGTTTCTGGTCAACTAAATACAATCCAGGTGTCTCAGTACCTACAAGAAACTCCTGAGGACAATGACCTTTGCTCTTCACACTTAAGCTATCATCTATTCCTCCTTGAGGAAACACAGGACTTTTCTCCTCTTTTGAGACTTCATAAAAACCATCAGCAGGAGGAGGTGTCCCATCGTTTTCTTCCTGCAGTGTGTCACAGTCCTCAGGTTGCAAACAATCATGGTCATCACCTTGAAGAACTAGAGAATCATGGTCATCGTCTTCAAACAAGGGGGTATCATAAAAATAGTCATCACTCTCGGTGTCTGTTCCCGTGTCACTCTGCTGATCAGCCAGCAGGGATGTCTCATAGTCACCAGCATCGATGGCTCCTTCAGGTGACAGTGTGCCACAAGTAGGTGTGCTGGCGTTCCACGAACCAGGGATCACGGTACAGGAGTAGTCCTCCTCCTCAGACCCGGTTTTCTCGTCTTCGTCCGTTTGCTGAGCATGTTCACTCTCACAGGAAGCAAACGATGTGTGCTCGTCGCTGTCACAGTGCACTTGCACAGTGCGGCCCCCGGTATCTACAGACTTCTGTTCACAAGGCTCCCCTTGTAAGCTGACGTTAATAGCTGCGATTCCCAGAAATTGGTCCTGAGATACCTCTCCTGTGCTCTGCTCAGCTGACACACTGTGGCCACCGAACGACAGTGCAGAAGCTTTGCACGTATCTCCCGAGGTCTGTGGGGTAGGTGTATCACCGAAACTCCCCTGATGGAGCCCCACCTCATTGTGGCTTAACAGGGCACTCAGCTGAGGGGAATAGTCAAAGACAGGTGGGCCCTTCTGCATATCATCTCCAGTCTCTCCTTCATTCGGATCACAAAGTCTATGGGTCTCTGCCGTCAGAAAATTACCTGCAAGATCTCTGGTGCTTTTAGAATGGTTACACCCATCTGGATGTGCCCTTGTTTCAAGGTCACCTTGATTTTCATAGTCTTTAAGAATATTCCTGGGGTCATGTCTGAGTGCGCTCCCCTCTGCATATTCAGGTTGGGCTGAACATGGTGTCGGTTTGGGGACACACACACTAGATGGGCTGCTGGCTTTGTGAACAACTGTTGTTGGATTTGCTAGGTTTTCTGGCCAACACAACTCACTCCTGCCATCATCGTTTCCCGCCTCATAGAACTCTTCTTTTATGGCACACTTTCCATTTGCAAGCGTCTCTTTTCGTTCAAGTTGTCTGTGAGGACCTTTATCAGAACCAGCTGCTGAGGTGGGACACTCATCCTTCTCCTTACGGGATGCATAATTAGGAGAGGCATCGGGGATGCCTGAGACAGCAAGACCTTCCCTCACGGGCGCGTCAGCACCGAGCTCTGCACCGCAGCTCTCCAGCAGCATGCCCACAGCCTCGCCCAAGTCTCCGTCATAGAGCAGAAGCCTCTGCCCCGTGTTCGCGTCCATGTAGCTGTTCACCATCAAGTAAGACAGGAATAACTTTTTGGTTTGTTCCGAGTTCTGGGTTGCGGCTGGCTCTTCGCCATCAGAACCGTCCTCTTCTTGCCTGTAGTCATGGACTGTGGATGGCTGGAATTTACAAAAGGAGAGCCATCTTTTGGCATTTTTACACGCTTCTAAGTCTCCCACGTCTGGCATTTTGTCTGGCAGTCTTATGTTCTTTAAAATTGATGCTGTATTGTTATCTATGATGCCAAGCTGCTTAGCAACATCCAAATCAATGACCTGGGAGCTTTCTGGGATATAGAGAGCAGCGATTTTCTGTCTCCCATTCAGAATTTTGTAAGCTAATTCATTTGTGATCAGCTCTTGCTGTAAGGAGGAAGATGTGGGAAATATTTCACCGGACTGGGGCCAGATGAGTCCGACATAGCCCCGCTGAGCCTCGAGAACCAGAAGCGCACTGCTGGACGATATCAAGTCACACTGCACGGCTTCATCTACCGTTAGCCGCTTAGCAGGGTCTGAGTGCAGGATCCCACCCGTCTGAACCTGATAGGTGAGGATGCTACTTGCAGTGTCTCTGTCAATCATGCCCTTTGCCATGGCTTCTTCAACAGTCATTTTCTGGCCAGAGTCGCCATGGATCAGACCGCCAGACAGAAGCTGTGCGCCTAACAGCCTAAACATGGTTTCCCGGTCTATGAGTCCTTCGTGAGCCGCTCTCAGAATGCTGACGCTTCTCCCACACCTCAGAGTTATCCTGCCAGCTTCCTGTGGTCTCACTGGTAAAAGCCACATCCTGGTATTTTCCTCAAAAATGCTCCTTTGTACCATACCAGTTAAAGAGACCTTCTCAGAGGTGCATGGGTCAATAAGGTCTCTACAAGTGTCCTGCCTTTCTAGGACTTTAGAAAACAATGCTGAGGAAATCAAATTCTTCTGGAAAGCCTTTTGCAAGGTCAGGTGTTCGCCCGTGGCTGGAACAAGCAGAGAGCCTGTGGAAAGCAGCATCTCAAGAACTCGGATGGCCATGGGTTCTGATATCATGCCCTGAGCCAGAGAGTCTAGCACAGGGACCGTGGCTGGTGACGCAGTAGAAATGATCTGCTTAACCTCACTTAGTTCTCTCAGCTGATGCAGAATTTGTTCATCAATGAGGCCGTGGCTTTCGGCATCTTTGAGGTCAAAACACTTTCTTAACTCTGGTGAAATTAAACCAGAAGTCACTAGCTGTGCCTCGAGCAACCTGACCCCTGTTTCATAGTCAATAAGGCCTCTTAAGACCGCCTGAAAGACAGAAAGGACCTCTCCAGTTGTCTGATTGATGGTGCCCGCAATCACTTTATCCGGCTGAAAGGGAAATGCAGAAAGCTTGGGTCAGTCTGGTACCTAAGGCAGTTTCTTGCAACATAGGTGGCTTTGTTTTATAATAATAAACTTAATCGTAAAAAAGTCCTCTACTTACCAAGGCAGCGTGTGAAAGTTAGGCAGCTCAAATGCACAAGTGATCTATGTCAGTGATCTATTCAACAGCACAGGATGTGATAAAGCTTTGAAAACAACATGCATCTGTGAATTGAAAACTTAACATCTGTGTATACTAACAGGGTTAGTGAAGACACAGGAGTAGGTGTGACAGTGAGAAAAAGAACACATATCTGTCTGGAAGGCAAACCATGCTTTCTGCATCTAGGTGAGATGAGAGTCTAGTGACAAGGAAGAGAGCATCAAACTCCATGCTACTGATGTTTACAGCATACAGACATTTCCAAGGATAGTAAGACTAAGGAGCCAAAAAACTTGTTACGTACCCCCAAAACATGAGTAATTATGTGAAAGTATTCCTGGGAGTCATGGGGTTGAATATAACAAATAGCTTTTAACATTGTGTTGGACACATTACTGAGCCGGATAATTTCTAAGTGATTTTTTTAAAGATGATATGAGATATAAGTCATAGCCTCCCACCGCTCAAATAACTTTCAGGAGTATCTCTGACAATCAAGAATCTCTACAGCATATCACTTGCAGAGATGACCCACAGGCTCTTCTTTAATCACATTTTATAGTAACATACTGAACATAAGAGTAAAAGAATGGCTTTGAAAAAGAAGAGTTAGAATGAATCCTCTTTCACCATGCAAGGCAGAGATTAAGAAGGCATAGGATGATGATCAGCACGAGGAAGGTTGCATTTTATAAACAACAAAGAAGACTCCACACTCTAAAATCCATTCTATCCACATGTTTTCCACATAGAAACCCCAAGGTGCATTGCCATGTATCTTCAGTCATGCAATAGACTAGACTCTTAAATGGACCTCACATCTCGTAAGCAATGTTACCTTCTCCTCTACCTTCACCTCTCCTGACAGCTGCGATTCTTGTTGTTTCAGAGATTCACTGAATAGTAAGTTATAACCTTCTTGAAGAGTTTTCACTTGTTTCTCCAATTCATTTCTTTCTTCATCTGTCAGTCTACAATATCCACAGAGCATCAAGGGGCAGTGTTAGCCTTCAAGTGTAAAAGGATGTAACTTGCTTCAATATCACAGTCTTAAAACAGACCTTGCTCTAGGTGTTTCTCAGGTCTTAAAATGATGATATTTGAAACTAAACAGCCTATATAAAATATCCAAGATTCTTTCCTTTGTCTGAGAAAGAGACTAAAGAGTTAAATGAATAAATAGGTCAGTACCTTTCCAAGGTCAGAACAAACAAACAAGCAAACAACAGAATAACTACTTCCAAGTTGATCAGAGAAAGATTCTTCAAGGAATAACTCAAAATTGTTTTGGAATAACCATGAAGAGGACATTCCAAAAGGATTTAACACAAGGGAAAAATGCCTTCTTTGTCTGAATCACTTGTTGAAATATATGAAGTAACCCATGAAAAACAGCACTAGAAAACACACACACACACAGACACCTTTACATCCTATGCATGTATTGTGCATGCATACACACGCGTGCATGCACATACACGCACACACAAACATGCACACACAAAGAATACATTTACGAAGTTTTCCAAAAGGTAATTTTAGAGTACTGTGAAGAATTAAGGCCTGACTCAGAGCCTGCACTGCCATTCACTGGTTGCTAATCTTCATCCTGTCTGAGCCTGTGTACTTGTCAGGAATCTATGAGCATTAGCACACTGTAGAGCAATGAGGTCTAGAAGTGACAGAGTTAAGTTCACATTCTTCATTCCCTGTTAAGTCAACTGTGATTCATTTGTGTCCCACTCTAGAACGCCAGGGATGCTGCACCGCCTTCTGTCTGCTGAATGGCTTTTCAGAACATGACCCTACACCCAATAGAAGGGCTAACGAAAGCCAACATACTTGTCTCCATGTTTAGCCAAAAAGATCTGTGTGGTCTGAAGAGCTTCAGAGAATTGCTCCTTCTTGGTTGATATTTCTTTACTGGAAATCTGTAAGGTAAGAAGTCACATTGAGAGTCTTCCCACAAGAGTATTAAATAGTAATTAAAAAATACACAACTTTAATCAAGACCAAAGTGTACTTTCTGGGTGACACAAGTACCAGCTGTGAGTGCTGTCGAGGCCTGCCTAAGAGGTCAGCTCTCCTCGGCACACAAGGGGAGGTGCAGCGCCTTCTCGTCACAGTGACATCATCTTCATAAGGGAATCATAATGTAAAACCACACAGTTCTTTCATCCTGGCCCAACTATGAATATGCGAAAGGCCAGGGCCTCAGCGCTGGCCCACTATCATCCTTTTATGGCATCCTTCTTAAAAAGGCACTGTGACGATGGGACACTCCTCCCGAAGAGGGTCTTTCTTCCAGGAGCACCTCTCATCTGTTGAAAGCCCTACTCATTAGGCCTCTGGGTCAGACGGTAATGGCTAACACCAGCACCCTCCATCCTAAGCCATCTGTGGTGATCAGAGAAGGAAAACTCATTCATTAGGGAAAGGAGTTTGTCCAAGGCTTTTTCCTAATTCCTCTCTATTTGATCAAAGTTTCCATTTTTGTAAAGGTACAGGAAGGAGAGGAAATACTGGGCCAATGAGAAGATGCCATACTACTTAGTCAATTTACATAGCAAATTTTGTGTGGTTACAGGGAATCATGAAGCTAAATGGAATCTTTGGAGGACTCATCCACCCATTATGTATATCAAACCACTTTTTCCTTTGAAAGAGAGGCAGGTATTTAGGCATAACTGCAGTTAAGGCCATAATCTTATTTCTAAGTATCTGTGTATACTAGGTCTAAATCTAATTAATGTTCTGGAAAATTGTCAACTATAACGTGAAGATACCAGGTGTTTACAGTTCATGCTTCTGAAGAAACATGTTCTCGCAAGACATCTTTGCTAAGGCTTGTGTGCCTGTTTGAAGGCTTTTCTATTTGAAATCAAGGAAAAGCCTGGGAAGAAGATATTTTAAATCAAAGACTGGAGGAAAATGACCCTGAAGAGTTTTGGTCTAAAACACAACAAATACTTTCTGACATCTCAGTTCTTCCATTTGTAGGATACACACCTCAAGGCCAGCCTCGGGTGCATAGCAAGGGTGAGACAGCCCTAGACTTTGTCTCCCCAAAACAAAACCAACCCAACAACAACAAAACTATCAGGAATTCCTACCATCAACAGCACTACTAGAATTTATACCTTAATGCCAATGTTCTGAGCTTCAAGTGGTACACTGTGGAGCAAAAACAAGCCCTTGCGTGAAGAACTGGAAAATTCATTCACATAGAAGAGTGTACTCTGCAGTGGTTGGACAACAAAGTTTTCCTTGTGAAACAGGAAAGACCCAGGAAACAGCTACTAAACCCTCAACAATGTTCACATCCTGGATGGTTTTCTCCTTGTCTTTCTGATGTTGGTGGCATAGGGGACTGACGACCACACTGGTCAACAATCCCAGTCATTCTAATCAGGGAGTTGATCTATGTAAGAGAAAGTCCTACAACCTATTGGCTTGCTAATAGGGAGGCCAATGCAAATGGTTCTGGCTTTGGAATGGGACAGACACCCTTCCCTAGCACATTCTGTGACTCTTTGAGGCAAACTGCCTAAGTACCCAAACTTTTGGATCTTCCTTGCAAAAACATATAACCCTGAGGTAAATTCAGGTGAAGAAGTTGTGCTTTGTAGACTGTATGATTCAGTAAATTCTCCCCCCGTTAGCATTAGGACCTCTGTGAGTACCTGTTGCTTAGAGAAGAGAGGTTCCCCAGCCTTTTCCCCATCTCTCAGTGTCTTGCTGATATTTGATACCCATTTCTGCAATTCTTTAGCTTTTTCAACATGTTGTTTCTTCTCTTCTTCCAGTGACTTCTGACAGGTACAAATGTTAAAAAAAAAAAAAAATCTAGTAAATGACTGATGACTGAGCTTCTCAACTAATTTCTCCTCTCTGCTGAAAATAAGAATGCAAAAAATGTTTTCCATCATACACACAGGTTACCAAAATATTTTATTCATTCATTTTACCATGTTCACCAGGTCATATAGCAGATGTCTTTGGTAGAAGGAATAAGCTTTGGCAAACAGGATTTAATCACTGCTCTGACCACCCAGCTGCTTCATGAGTATGACACGAATAAGCAAACTCAACTTTATTCATGGGACAGGGCGAGATTTGAGAATCGCTGCCTTTGCATTAGCATTACAATCGCAAATGCCTTGACCAAGAGCAATCAGACCGCAGGAGGCAAAAGGAGAATGGCTACACACAGACGAAGCCCCCACCCCAGTGTATTTGTTAGATATTATAACTCCGAAGTCTCAACTAAAATAAGAGATTGCAACAGATGCTTTAACATGTAATGCACATCACTGCCTACAGGAAGCAATCTTCAGCCCCATAGGTCTGGCGCACATTTGCATGTTCTCCCTGATCCCGCGGTGCTCTGTCATGAATGTGCTGAATCTATTCAGTGAGAGAACTCTGAAGAAATGAGTCTGCGGACATGTTGATCCCATGCTGTAAAACCCACTTTAGGGAGATAAGATTTATTAAAAAAAAAAAAAAAAAAAAGTAACTACTTCAGGGACAGTGAATCTTTTGTCGTTTTCAATTTAAAATGACTGTTTTTCTGAGCAGGGAGCTACTTCTAGCCCACAAGAAATTAACTGTGCTTCGCGATGGTCCCACGGTCCTAGACTGCTCACCCAGCAGACACCATCTGTTCCTAACAGATGGCAGGAAGCAGCGGGCACTGCCTCTGCCTGGGGTAAACACCCTACTGGGAAGAATAGTAGAGGCTGGCTATCCCCGTCCCCAGGGGCTCAGACACTTCTAACAGCCGAAGTCCTGTGTGGAAATCAAAATCCGCTTTCACCAAGGCTTCCTTATATGTCAGTTTTCGTCTAGTCTGGGGACACATGATATTCCTGACGTATGACTTTTGATCTTTGAGCCTCGTAGCGATGAGGACATCAATGATTCCTACTTGAAGAGCCTCTTCTATTGACATCCTCGAGTGAACTTGAGGCTCTATCAGGCCTCCTGTGAGGTGCTGAAACTCCAGACAGCGGATTCCCAGCTCTTTACTGATGATATTTGCATTCACAGCCTCTACCACTGACATCGTTTTCTTGGTGACAGGATGGCTGATGCCGGTGATGACTAACTCACACTGGCGCAGCTGCTGGGCCAAGCCCTCATCAACGAGGCCTCTATGCAGAGCCTCGGACACCCTGTACTTTTTGCCAGTTAGGGGATCAATGATCCCCCCAGTACTGACTTGGGCTTCAAGGCATCTGAGGGCAGTGACCCTATCTATTAAGTTTCTACGGGAGGCCTTCAGCAAAGAGATCCGCTCCCCACTAGCGGTTAGCCAGTAGCCGGCAATGGGACTAAGCAAGTCCTTCTTAGGAACTACCTTGCTCAGTAAAAAGTCAGCCAGTTCTGTGAGTGTGGTAAGGCCTTCCTGGTACTTCTGTATCATGGCTTTGTCTAGCGTTCCCTGCTCTACAGCCTCACTGATATTGAACTGCAGACCAGTTTTAGTATCAGTCAGCATATGAGAAGGATGCCCGTAGGAGTCGAAAAACGTGGCTTCCTTCCACTGATACTGCTGCGCCGAAAGCTCAAGATAAGTACTTTTGTCAACGAGGTTTCTCTGGAAAGCCTCGAATGCAGTCAGCTCCGCCCCGGTTTTAGTATCTACCACAGCAATTTTGTGAGTTTTCTCTATGTTGAGGTTGGATATTTCCCTCTCCCCAAACGGGAAGAGAAAGCACCGGGAATCTACATCAAACACACACATCCGCAGTAGCTCTGAGTAGTACAGAGCCTGCTTGTTGTTGGGATTAGGGAAAACTCTTGTGTTGCTGGACGGCTCATGCAAGAACTGCAAGATGGCGTTGTTGAGCAAGCCCTGCTGCACGGCGGTTTCTGGGGGAACACGGATGCCTCTCACGGGGTCAATGACACCCCCACTGGCAATCTGTGCCTCCAAGATATGTTTGCCTTTCTTCCTATCAAGCATTCTGTTTTCCATTGCCTGGAACACTGACAGCGGCTGAGAAGCGTGCGGGTACCCTACAACCGCCTTCTCTGACTCCAGGAGCCTGTTCCTAAATTCAGGGTCAACGAGGCCTTGAAGAACCGCATCCTCTACACAGTAGGTCTGACCAGAAACGGGATCGATTATAAAACCTGTTGCAGCCTGAGCTTCTAAAAAGGCTAGTGCCATCATCTTGTCTATAATGATTTTCTGGGCCGCAGAAGCAAACGATATTTTGTCTTTGGAAGATTCTAGATAAAGTCCTGCGATGGAGGTGGCTCTGCTCAAAAACTTGCTAAGACTTTTCTGCACTTCTTCGACGGTCTTCAGTCCGAGTCGCAGCTGCTCAACCGTTCTCATGTCCAGAAGCTTAGCTTCAGCCAGCTGCCTCCCAGTCACGGCGTGCCTGAGCCCCTGGAACTGAAATTCCTCATCCCTAACAGAACATGCTTGGTTAAGGGCAGAGCTCTGCGAAGTGTCTGGCTCTATGCTTTTCTTAGGGAACTCTCCCTTGAGTCCAGCGGACGCTCTGGACCCTTCCAGCATCCATCCAGCAGCACTGGAAGCCAGCGTCTTGTCTTGTTTTAAGGTCGTGACTTCCGTTTGCATGCCGCATTGTTTGCTCTTAGCTATCTGCAACAGCAATGTTTAAGATGTTAAACGCTGCCCAAAGAACATGTCGCCACTGTGTCAGATACTCTCCAACCCCTGAATAGTAAATAAGCCAAGAACTTGCTCAGTAAAAAGTCAGCCAGGATAAGGGGTGATGATATTCTGAGAGACTCAAGCTTTAGCAACTGGATACCTTAATGTAGTACGCAGGAAAAGACTGAAATGAAGCCTGGCCCCAGAATATGCTAGAAATTGAAGGTAATAGTGGATTCTTCTAGGTTTTCTTTTCTCCCTCTTGAAAAGGGAGAGACCTTGCACAGGCTAGGGAGGCCTTCTCCCACTGAACTGCACACACAGCTATGTGCTAGATGTTTTTAAATGTTAGCATTTACTCCTATAGATATAGGAGCTTATCTAGCACATTTATGTCTGACCTCAAGCATTCATAAATCGGTGGTAACTTAGAATAAATGTGGCCAAACTGCTGGAAAATTACTGTGTTATTTTCCTCTCAGGACTACACACAGCTAAGCATTTAAAAACTGTTAAAAATCTAGTCTTGGAGAGAAAAAAAAAAAAGAAAGAAAGAAAGAAAAGAAGCCTGACATGATAGAGCTAATAAGGCCTCAGAACAAAGTATACCTCTAAAGGTGTCAAAAGCGTCACCAATTCCATTTCAAGCCTGTCGTCTTGGTACCTAACGGGTGGCCTGGAAGTACGCAGGGCTTGGTCTCTCATCTTCTCTACCTCAGACAGTCTTGGAATGGGATTTTTCTCATCAAAAGTGATCTGCAGCTCAGTGCTGGTCTGAGAAAAATACTCTGAGTAGCATGGTTGGCTGCCTTCCTTGTCCAGCAGAGGCCCTGGCTGTCGGAACTGACCCTCCTTTGGAAGTTGTTCGGCAACCCTATGCTGCCATTTTTCTTCTACCTGCTGTGGTTCCCGAGTCCATCTCAACAATGGAGATCTGGCCGCTAGGTTTAGGTGTCCTGGGTTCCCAGAAGTGGTCTCTGCGGCAAGGTGGCACTCTCTCCCTGCCATATCACAAGCCGGTGTGAAGGTGTGCTCTTTGGCCGTGCTTTTTTCTTGAATTTCACACTGGAGCAAAGCTAACTGGTGCTCGTGCTCCTTTACCCGCTGGTCCATTTTTTGCTTGAGGCTCTCGACCTCCCGTCTCTGGGCCGCCAGCTCCTCCTCGAGTTTGCGGCATTTCTGGGAGTGGTCGGCTTCTCCGTGGTGCCCCTGCCGCATCTTCTCTCGGTAGCACTGAAGCTGCCGTTCCAGTTCTCTGATGTCTGTCTCCCAGAGCTTTGCGTTCTCTTGCGCTCGGCAGTTTTCTCTCTGGAGAGACACAAAGTCGTGCCTGATGCCCGAGATGTCATTCTCGGTGATGACCTTGGCCTCCATTAACTTTTCCATCTTCTTCCGGAACTCATCGGCTGAGCGCTTGAATTTATCCGACTCTTCCTGGAGCAGGACCATCTTCCTGTGGGCCATCTGCTCGTCGATGGTCTTCAGGTGCAGCTCATCCTGCACCCTTTTCAGCCTGTCGTTCAGCTCTTGCACCTGAGCTTGCTGCAGCTGTGCTCTCTGCTCCTCCCGTCGCTTCTCCTCTTTGGAAGCACTGAGCTCGGCACTCAGGCTCCTCACCTCCTTCGCTGTGGTCTGGATGATGAGGTTCTGCTGGTCACATTTCTGCTTAAACTCGCTTACTAAATTTTGACTTTGGGCTAGGTCGTCCTCCAGGCTTTTAATTTTTCTGTGGAACTCCTGTTCTGTTTTCGTCTGTTTGTGCAAGTGTTCGTTGGTGTTGCGTAGCTGATCTTTAAAACCGTCTGCTTGCATCTGCAGCACTTCGCATCGCTGCTGGATGGCTTGCTTCTCGAGAACTATGTTCTTGGACTCCGCCTGGATTCTCTGCATCATTAGTTTGGTGTCACTGTTCTGCCTGGTGAGCTCAGCCACCTTTTGTTTGAGCATTTCCGCACACTCGTTGCTCTTCTCCAATTCTTCATTGAGCTTCTGGATTTTATCGTTATTTTCTTTCTCAGCTTGGATATTCTGAAGCAGCTGCGCATGGCTCTTCTCAAACTCTTCTTTTAGATGATCCGATTTTCTCTGACAGAGTCGTCGCCTGTCATCTGGGGAATCCTTTTCATCCTGTGAGGACTGAGCTTGGGAATTTAAGTGCTGAATGTTCCTCTCGGCTTGTGCGTGCACCCTGGTGATTCTGTCGACTTCTCTCTGGAGTTTTCCTTTCTCGTGATGGAGAGATTCTAATTCCAACTGATAGTTGTGCTTTATTTTCTTGAGATCATTAGCTTCCTGCCTGACCTCTTCAGCTTTGTCTGTCGTTTGGTTCAGCTGCCTGCCAAGTTCTCTGAGCTGCTGGGAATACTGTTCCTGGACCTGGTCCTTCCTTTCCAGATCCTCCTGGAGGCACCTGAGCGTGTTATTGGTCTCATCCAGTTTCTCTTTGAGCAACCGAGCCTTTTCCTCAGATGAAGACTTTTCGAGCTGGACAGCACTGAGCTCATACTTCAGCTCCCTCATCTCCTTCTCCGCCTTTCTGTTGGCCACAGTCAGCTCATCCACCTGCTGCTTAAGCTCCTCCTCTTTCTGTCTGTCGAGCTCCTTCTGGGGACCTGGCCAGCATGATGCAGCCCGTGGGACGTTTTCTCTGCATGAATGCTGAATCTCGGTTATTTTTCTTCTTGCTTCCAGCTCAGTCTTCTGCTTTTCCTTCAGCTGCTTCTCAGCCTCCCGCTTCTGGAACGCCAGGTCCCGCTCCATCTGCTTCACCAGCTTCAGGAGCTCCTCCTCGTGGTCCCGCTTCCGCCGGAGCTGGTCCGCTAGGGCCTGCTTCTGCTGCTCCAGGTCGCTGAGGCTGGAGTCCTTCCTCCGGAGGCGGTCTTCCAGCGTTCTTCTCGTGGCGGTGTTCTCCTCCAGCTGGCTCCGGGACTTGCGGAGGTTCTCCTCCACCGCGGCGCGCCTGGCCTCGGCCTCCGCCGTGAGCTGCCGTACCCGCTCCAGCTCCCGCTCCGCAGCCTCCTTCTCCCGCACGCTGCTCTCCAGCTCCCGGCGGTACTGCTGCGCCTGGCTCTCCGCCCGCAGCTTCTGCAGGGCGATGTCCTCCACGGTCCTCTGCTGCTTCCTCAGCTCACTCTCCGCAGCCTCCTTAACTTTTGGAAGCTCCTCCTCTACCCGAGATTTTTGTTTCTTTAGCTCAGCTACCATTGTTTCCAATTCACTGATCTTTCCTGTCAGTTTGCTATTCTCAACCATGGTTGCTTTCTGACGCTGCAGCAGGTCTGAATACGCCCCGTGTTCAGAACTCTCCTGAGACCTTTTCATCTACGAGAAATATTGAAAGTGTCAAAGCCGTTCTACTGAAATAGACTGTGCAGTCTCAAGACCAAGGGAACTCAGAGCAGCAGTCGCCACCAGCACCAGCCCCTTCAGAGCAGAAGCCTCAGAAATCCAGCAGTGAGGAGACAGAGAACCTGCAGGAAGGTTTCCCAAAGAACCCCTTTTGCCCTTCAGGAGTCATTTCATGTAGAAAACTAGCTAGCTTGAGGTTTTGAAGCAAGAACGGATTCTCCAGAATATGAGTGGGGCCCCAAACTTTTATGGATGTAAGAATTAAGCTTTACTCGAAATGAATACCCACTCTGCTCTCACATACAGTGTGGTTCTGTCAGCTTAGAACCACCACCATACAGGAACCAAAGAACACAAGATTTATCTTCCAATAGTGGGTCCAGTGGAAATTAAACATGATACTCACAGTTCCATGTTTGTGATTAAAGAAACAGAACACCAGAACAGAGAGCCGAATTCAGAAATAATACTTTTAACACGGGCAAGGAGAACAACATAAAACCTTGACATTTCTAAGTCACTGTTTATGACAGCAACTGTGACAGTGAGGATTGCTAATGCAAAGGCAGCTCCTATCTCTGATGGCTTTGAAGGAGACGAGATTCAAGCACTCACAGATTTTGTCATCATTGTCACTGATGGGCCTCATCTGAAATCCATTTTCTCAAGCACCTTTAGATTCCCCACAAATATAAAGATACTTGTGAAATATAAAGGTTTAAAAAATATACCTAGGGATTCATATCCATTTTATCAAATAAATATAAGAGAACCTTTTAGCAGCTGGGAGGCCTGGGAAACTAAATATTAACCGAAACACTACATGTTTAGACTAGTTGACAAACACATTCTAGTTCTCTTAGTTAATATCATTAGGATGTATCAATGTAGTAGCTTTGTATCAACTGAAAAAATAACTGCAATAAGAAAACAGTGTAGGTAGGAATACGGGAATCACTTTATAGATATGATTTGTTTCAACTGCGATATATGTGAATTTCAAGAATTTAATTTGTAACACATATTTTTCTTCCCCCACTTTCCTGGTCCTCAAATTTGGAGCTTCAAAGCTCAGCTTCCTTAATCAACCTACCCATGGTTGTTAATTTGATGCCACAGAGAAACACACCCATCACAGATGCTATGCTCAATGGTGCATTTCTTTCCATTCTGTGTCAAAGTGGACCTTTAGAACATTCTGGATATTTAAAACATGAGGTTTTTCTCAGGGCACAGATGCACACCTGGAATCCCAGTACTCAGGTGAAGACAGGAGAATATAGAATTCCAGGCCATTGTTCTGGGCTAACCAGACAGCCACTGCCTCGAAAACAAAAATGAATTTTTAACAATTCTTTTGAGAACCAGTTCCTCTTATTCTGAAACAGCTTAGCTGTTGCCATGTTATCTTGAGCCTTTTCCTCTTGGTCAGATTCTGTTAATCTCAGCAAAAAATAAAATAAAATCTATTGCTGAGTCTTCAATCTTAATTAAAGTCATTTTAGTAGTTTATTAATAATTCTATGTGCTCTGGTAAACCAGAATTTTCATATATGCTTAAAATTACTTCTAATAATTTAAGTCAATTACTGATTTTTCATTTTGTAGACCTCAAACTTACTCATGAAAATCACTTTCTCAAAAGGTCTCTCAGCTCTATGTAGACGGATCAGTAACTTACAGAGTTGGGCCTTTGCCTCAGCTACAGAATTTCTTTACCACATCAAATACAGACCTAAGCCAATGTTCTAGTTCTCTAACATGTGGTTACTTCTGAAGGTTTCATGTATCTTTGCTTGTAGGTTCATGATGACAAATTGTGCTTAGTAGGCAAATTTTCCTGTGGATCTTCAGGACTATGTTTCAGAACTACTACTCTTTTGGGTTTAAAACTTAAGTTACATATCTTTTGTTTGTTTGTTTGTTTGTTTGAGACAGGGTAGGGTCTCTCTGTGTAGCCTTGGCTGTCCTGGAACTAGCTCTGTAGACCAGGCTGGCCTTGAACTCACAGATATCAGACTGCCTCCTGAGACTGGGATAAAAGGCGTGTGTACCATTCAACCAGCCAAGTTACATGTTTTTAAAGGACATTCCATTAATATTATCCTTAAACAGAAGAGTACTGAATTTTATTTTAAATTACAGTCTTTGTGTGTCTTCAAAACTATATTGTTTTTATTTTCAATTCACTATAAACCTTTGATGTTTTGGTAATAATTCATATTTAAGTCTTTGAAAATATCTTTGTTTCTATCTTATTGCAGGAATTGAGCTGAGTGGCTCACATATGTATAATTAAATACATACTGTGAGAATAGAAAATAAATTAAGTGACTTCATATTTAACAACTACATATAAGTCTTAAAAGACATGTTCACCATTTAAAATGGAATAATATCTCTCAAAATGTAGTGAAAATAAGAAAATTCTCTCACCATGAAAAAGTGTATTATATTTACTGAGAGAGTTCTGAGTGCTCTGGGCTCTTTTGTAGGCATATAGGAAGCTTACAAAAGAGGTTATAAAGCTGTGTGAACAGCTATTAGAGGGTTAGTGCAGAAACTCTGAACAGACGAAAACAGTTTATAGAAGAGCCACATTTTCAGAAGCTAAGAGAGTAAGCACCATCTCACAGGCTCAGACAGCCTTTTGTTCTTTCAATACATAGGTAGCACGATAGCAGGTAGAGATAGACTCCTGTAGAATTTCAACAGTCCAATTGAGATGTCCAGGTCCCAAATTTTACCGTTTATACATTTTAGCATTCTTGTAACTATTTTTGTCTGTTCTGGGATGAGGAAGAGAAAGGCCATCGGAAGAACAGAGCACAGAATAATCCTTTCATAAATAGAACCGACAGGCTTTCATGCAATATAGTCTTATAAGTAATTTCTTACTCTTCCTATTTCTCAACACAACTTTAAATTCAGGATCACAGCTGCAGAAGTCCTTCATTAGAATGATACTTACCTTCTTATCAATTCTTAAAATGCCCACTCTTTTATACAAATAATCTACTACTAAGTTTGTCTTAATATAATTTGCAATAATTTTAATTCTTTAGAAATTCATATTAATTCAAGATGCACAGCACACACACATCCGTGTCGCACATCTCTACCCACCCCCTATGAGCAGCAACTGCGCTTGGGAGAAGTCCCTTCTCAGCTGCCAGGAGGCTGAAGGAATTTCTGCCCCAAGCTGACTCTTCCCGCTGAGACAGACCACTTACGGCACCAAGTCTATCATGTTAGGGTTCCGACGTAACTGCTTTGGAGGCTGGACCTAAAGCACGCTACGCAAATATTCCAGTCCACCTGAGGTAAAAGTTTAAAACGCTTTTGTTTTGGAGAATCTAAAACAAACAAACGTCTAAGGCTTTCACTCTTTTCCAGTGTAAGCTTCTAATTCACTACTTGCGCACTGGCTGTCAGCCATGCAGATCCATGAAACTTATTTCTGCCTTCCCCGACACTGCAGTTACAGCTCAGATCTCGTTCCCGTGTTCCTCGGGCGCTCCCTGTTAGTGGTTACCTCCTCCTCTTCCAGCCTTTTCAGCGAGTCGCCGGCAAACTTAACATACTGTGTCATCAGAGTGACCAGGGCGGTGTAGCGAGTCCGCAGGTCCATGAACTGCAAGGCAGAAGAGGTAGAGCATCATCTCTGTGCTCACGAGTGGAGCGAACCTCGAGAGACGCCCGCACTACTGACGGGGCTTCGGAAAATAAAGCACACGTTTATCCAACAGCGACTGGCTGCCCGCCTGTACACCACACTAAGTCATAACTTCCTTCTAAGTTTAATCATTAAGTTTCTGTATTAGTAAGTTATCTTGATTTTAAAAGCGTTTTTAAAGAGACTTAATAAAATGTAGTAGTATGGCACTTTCTGTCGGGGTGACTGAAAAAAATAAGAACTAGCGGTGACTAGGTAGGCACAAAATTGTGATACAACAAAATTCCATTAAATCATTTAAAAATAATGAAAACGGCCAATTTTATATTAGGTATGTTTTAACATGATAAAAGGTAAAACTTTAAAGAATGTTGTTTCTCTCTTTTCTGCCCGTACTCTGCTCTTCTCTATTTGTTACCTCTTGAATAATGAGGTCTGCTGAGCTCTGTATCCGCCGCCGTTTCACTGGTGACTTCTGCTGTGAATCGACCATGGCCCTGTAGGTCATTGTTTGCAATTCATAGTCCTGCATAAAAGAGTCAATAGGATACAATTAATTAAAGCAAAGCCTGAGAGCTTCATTCCATAGTGACTGACCCCAGAAAACTGGTAATTAGTTCACTGAAATAATTTTTAAAAAACGAAAACTACATCTTGTTGTTGTTTGAGACAAGCTTCTTCTGCATAGCTGTCATGGAGCTCGCTTTATAGACCAGGCCCTCAAATGCAGAGAGATTCGCCTACTCTGCCTCCTGAGTGCTGAGATCACAGGAGTGTGCTACCACTGCCTGGCTTGAAAGCTAAATTAAAAAAAAAAAATCTATTTAATTCTGGAGATACTTGGAAGGCAGAGACATAAGCAGAGACATGAACATTGACTGTAAAAACATTTGCTGTAGAATACTCTTGGTGGCCTCGACTTACTCCACACCAATCCCAGAGCTGTGCAGCAGGGAAGCTAAGGAAGAATCAATGTTATCTTATAAAAATATGACAGTGACTTTAAGTAAAAGTTAAATGTTCTCTCAATTTGGAATTTAAAAAAAAAAAAAAAGGAAAGCAGTAAGAAACAAGTTTCAGGGCTATGTGTCTGGGGTGTGTGAATTTTCACGCATTCACGGGATAGAGGAAATGAAGCAGCCACAGGGCCATTACCTGGATCATTTCACAAAGAATTATTAGTAAGTACAAAAAAGGATCAAATGAGAATTTTCTCCTTCTAAACAGAATGAAATGACCTAAATCGCTTTAAAAATAGAGCATGAAATAGCTGACTAGGAAATCTGCCTAAGGTACATGACCTCTCACCTTTACTGCAGCTGAGTACTGCTCGGCGTATTTCTGACATTCGTCCATTCTGCTCTGCTTCACCTCTATCTCAGACACCAGCATCTGTAGACACAGTTCAGAGGGAGAGTCAGGAGCTGGACGCCAGCCCACCTCGTGCTCAGGAGTGAAGAATACCCACCCCCCCACGCCCCCGGGCTCTATGTCTTATGTGTGCCTTGACTTAGAGCTAAAGAACAAACTCCCAGCAGAAGACTCATCTACCTCTGTGAGGCTTTCAAAGCAGAAACAAGAATTACACAGAGCAGACTTGGAGTCCATCCTTCTACCCACTCCAGATGAAAACAGAGTTAGAAATCACTGGGTCCTAGCGCTAAAGCGAAAACCTTAAAACATTCAACTTCCCACCAGTGTGGCCGGCTGGGAGCCGACATACTACCTCAGGCCACGGTCATTAACTCCACAAGCGTAAACTATGTTGCTGGTACACGGTCAAGAAAACTCGGACCCAGCCTATGTAACCTATGACGGTGAGGGGGGAGACAACTGCCCCAGCACACTGCTCACTATCTATGCTTTCAAAAATGACTTCTAGGGAGTAAAAATCAGTGTAGGGAGGTGTGGGGTACAGAATTCTCACATACATTCCTACTCCTCTTGGTTGTCTGAGTGATTGCCTGCTCTTCTAGCACAGGAGAGAAGGTGAGGCTCATGACCCCAACCTCAGCCAGCACCAGTTTAAGCACTTCCTTTGTGTACCTTCTGTTGGTTCAGCTGTAGGGCTAGGGCTTTGCTGTTTTCTGGCTGATTTTCCTGAATCTTTCTCTGGGTAGTTTCAATTTGCTGAATCCAGTCATCTAGAGGGTGATAGGAATCTCTGTAGCACTTCAGCGACTTCCCAATTCCTTCTAAGTCCCGCAGCCTGCGAGAACAGCAACGGTACAGTCAGGTTCCAGCAGATGAGTGAAGGGTCAAGGAAGAGGAGGACGAAATAAGACCCAAGAGCCACTAAGTACAATGGGGCAGCGCCCAGCAGTGGCCTAAGGCATGATTCCTGCAGCACCCACACAGTGTCAGGGTGGACAGAGGCTGTCTGTTCCTGGAGCTGATGTTTATATTGGTGCTGTTTTACTACGGCACTAAGACTGAAGCTGAAAAAGCAGTCAATTAACCATCACTATCATCAATCGACACAGCTGCGGACTGCCTCAAATAAACAGTTCACCTGTACTATTTATTTATTAGATGGACGGTTCAACATGGTCTCAGAGAATATCTTCCAGGAACTGAAATTAAATGCCCTTTTCTATGATTTTAAAAATCAGCACATTAAACAAATTCATCATGTGTTTTCCAAAAAAATAATACATATGAATGTAACTTCATTTCTTGAGTGCAACTATATCATAAAAGCATTTAATTTATATTTTCATACACATAAAAATAAGGTGACTACTTATTTCTATAAGATGAAGCCTAAATCAATTCCATTTTCTTTTGTGTTTTTAATTCTCATTGAACAAATGATTCCTATAGTCTTTCAATCTCAATGAAAATAAACAACAGATTGTTTCGATTTCTTAATTTCTCTTAGGTCCAACAAAGATTGCCATGTACGGTCCAAGAAATAAGCTTATGATTTATGTTAACTCACTATTGTTTGAACATTGTAAGTTAGTAATAGCTTTTAGAGCATTACATTATTATTTTTTTAAAAAAACAGATTATACAAATACCAGGCTAGATGAGCATTTTTAATTATACACAGAGGAGAATGTTCTTTTTTCTGGAGGCAGACACATAGCTCAGAAGTTAAGGACACTGGCTGCTCCTTCAGATGACTTAGGCTTGATTCCCAGCACCCACACAGAAGCTCACAACTGTCTATAACTCTAGTTCCAAGGGAACCAATGTCTTCTTTCTATCCCTTCAGGCACCAGACTTGCATGTGGAATACAGGCACGCACACATTCAGGTAAAACGCCCATATACATAAAAACAACAAAACCAAAATCTGAAATAAAGAGAGAAAATGTCTCTTTCAAGTTACAGGTTTTGCTGAAGAGAGTATGTAGGAAAGAAACGTAATTAGGGAACGACCCTGCAGTTAACACATTAGCTCTGGACTGTCACTTGCGGCCTGGTGGGGGCAGCTTAGACACTGCCCTCTGTACACAAAGGGCACCCAGCCTCCATGTCCGCTGAGCAGAAGGGGCCCACCTGTTGTCGATCTGCACGTGGACACTCTGCCACCTCTCCACCAGCTGGTCTGCTTTCTCCTTGTGCCAGTCACAGTCAAGGTCCCGTTCTTTGTGTGTCTTAAACATCTCATCACTGATGGCTTTTGCCTTCTGCAGCTCGTCCTCCAGTGCATGAAACACCTCTCTCTTTTCATCTACTTCTGTCCGCCATTGCTAAAATACATGACCCAATGAGCATCATAAAAATTTATCAACACGTTATACAGAAAACACATTATTTACCTCATGTTACAATTTATTCATCATTTTGTGACATACAACTAGGTGAGGAAAAGCCTATCGTATTGAAAATGTATCAGGTATAATGTTATAAAATGACTATTATCTAATTGTGCTTATCTCTGAAAAAAATTACATTTTACTGTGAGAGACACTTTATGTCACTTACTGGAGGAAAAGCAATCTGCGAGGGGAAGGGCTGACAGTTCAGAGAAATGCATCAACACACATAAAAAAAACCAAGTATGCTAAATTTGTATTTTTCAATTAAAGATTATAAAATCTAAAAAAATGCTTATAAAATCCAGCCTAGTAGAATTCATGTGTCAATAAAACTAAGTATATCCTTTAAGGAAGGCAGTTGCCCCAATAAAAGCCCTTTTCATTGTTTATAAATGCTTTTAATTCCATTGTTTAAAAATTAATACAGGCATTCAGATGACTGAGAGAAAGTCAATGCTTTTGCAACAGCCTTGCCAAGTGCTTTTCATACAGAAATACAGATATAGGGACAGTGAGATGGCTCAGGGGTTCAGGGTGCTTTATGTTTTATGAGCATGAGCTGAGTTTGATCCCCAGAATCTATACAGTGGAAGGAGAGAACTGAATCCTGTAAACTGAATCCTGTAAAGTCTCTTCTGACTTCCACAATCATGCATGCACCACGGCATGTGAGTGACATATACATGTGCACACAGACATGAACACACATAGACAGACACAGTGTTATTTTTAAAATAAAAAAAACATAGAGTTCAATGATAAATCTTTTTTCTTTCTTAAAAATAACTTCTGGGGCTGGAGAGATGGCTGAGTGTTTAAGATCACTGGCTGCTCTTCCAGAAGACCCAGGTTGTATTCCCAGCAGCCACATGGTAGTTCACAACCATCGAAACTCTAATTCCACAGGATCCCATGCTCTTTTCTGGCCCCAAGCAACACTACACACAGACTTGGTGCACAGAAATACATGCAAGAGAGACACTCATACACATAAAATTACAAAAAAAAAAAAAAAAAAAAAAACACCTTTAATAAAATATCCCTCTACTTAACTTCTTTGATATTTTAAAATAACTGCCCCTTATAAGCAAAAGAATCTACTATACAAAATTTAACTTCTGGTACCAATTTATCTGGCTGTCAATATGAATCCACTAGGAAAAGTTACTGTCAAAAGGTTCAAACCTCAAACAAGAACACCTCTGTGGTGGTCTGAATAACAATGGCCCCGCAGACACATACATATGAATGCTTGGTCCCCAGCTGTTGAGACTATTTGGGAAGGATTAGGAGGTGTGGCTTTGTTGGAAGAAGTGTGTCACTGGAGGTAGGGCTTTGAGGTTTCAAAAACTTTGCCAGATCTCTGTGTTAGGCTTGTGGGTTAAATGTAAGCTCTCAGGTAGTGTCATGCCTGTCTGCCTGTCTGCTGCCATGTTCCTCACCACGATGATCATGTACTCACCCTCAGAAGCTGTAAGCAAGCCCCTAGTCAAAAGCTTTCTTTTATAAATGGCCTTGGTCATACTGTCTCTTTATAGCAGCAGAACAGTAACTTATACTAAAATGACTGACTTTAGTCATTCACAGGCAGTTGCAAAAACATGAAATGGAGACAGAGCACAATCAGAAACACATTCTACATCAGTTTACTTAGTGCTGGGTGTCTGCAGCTTGAGCTCTGTGCTGGAGAAATAATTAGAAATATGACCTTGGGACATGTCCCAGACATGAGGCTCTTACCTTTAAGGTACTCATTAAATTCTCAATATTATTCTTGTCAGCTATAACGGCTTCCTCTTCACACAGTTTGGTTTCATACAGTTTGACAAGGGCTTCTGCAGCTTGAGTGTTTTTTAGAACCAAATTAACTGTTTTTAACCTTTAAAGAGAAATAAATACTAAACCATGCTGTTTAATGCCCCCTCTTTTTGCATACTGTACAAAATACAGTCATACTAAAGCATCATTATAACTCAAGACATGGCAACACTGACTGGCCTCCTGTATGTCTGGATTCAGTTGGCTCTTTTCCTGATGGACCCCACCCTATGTCCCACCCCAGGTGCTATTTACACAGATTCCAACAGAAGACAGTTCTTAGATTATGCCAAGTATGAGTGGGAACCGCTGAAGGCTACAAAAGGAGACGACAGCAATCTCTGAGGACACCCCCCTCGACATGGGGAAACATCACCAATCCAGTTTCCTAACACAAGCCCACCGTTCACCGAAAGCAGTCAGAGCGGGGATGACGTGGCGCTGACATGCTGACATACTTCTCTATGTACGTGGAAGACATGGAGTAGATCTGACTCATGCTCTGAACGACCGCACTGAGCTCCGATCGCAGGGTGGGGACAGAAGGGGAGTCTGCTGCTTGACTGAAGAACTCTTCACACTTGTTTGTGATGGTTGCTAAGTCATCTTTAAGCCGCTCCAGCTCTTTCTTCAGTTTCTAGTGCAGAAAACAAACACGCATGTTTCTTAGAGCAGCTACAAACACACTTTACGTTTTATTAGCAACATAAGTATTTGTGTAACTTTTTCTTTACCAAATAAACAGAAGCATGCATTCCAGCTTTACAATCAGCAGTGTCTTTATGGTTCAGGCCCTTGACGTGGATAATGGCTCTCACGGGCTGGGAGGGCACCTGCCTCTGCGTTTCCTAAGTCAGAGGCCGACCTGAGTTGCAGGACCTTAGTCCACATCCAGCAACACATGACAAGTGGACCTCAGCAAGGAACTGAAGCCATGGTGAGCATGCAGGAAATCAGGAGCCGATAATCCCTGGTTTTGTTTTAACACTCACGTAACTCCTACCTCCTGCTCTGTGATTCTGAACATGCTTTCATGTAGATCATCTCTTTCCAGGGGAGTCCGGATCTGCCGAATTAGGCGGTCCTCACAGCTCTCCAACCGAAGCCGGATGTTGCGCACTTCCGAGATGTAAAGATTGTATGCGGACTCCTCCTGTTCCTCTGTGAAGGTAACACCATGCTTAGCGCGTGACCCCTCCTCCCCAGGAAGCCCTTGTCCAAGTTTCACTACAGCAGCTCTTACTGTCAGCAAACCAGAAGTTCCTGACAGCACAAGACATAAAGACATAACCTTAAAACGGAAACCTTAAAGCATGAATGTTAAAACTTAAAAAGCCCTAATTTCCTTGAGGCCATTTAAAATACTAACTTACCACTGAAACATCCAGAGGAAGTAATACACTACAGTTCCATATGACACAAATATGAATTATATGCTATAAATTAGCCATTAAATTAATCAAAAATTCAAAAGTAAAAAGCAGTTAAAGAATGTGTTAGTGGGGCTGGAGAAATGGCTCAGCCGTTAAAGGCTAGGCTTATAACCAAAAATGTAATAATGTGTTAATGTTTTAAGATTTCAAAACACAAAATATTACTAATAAGATCATTTGTTTCTAAATAGTATGAAGAGTTAAGACTGAGATTTTTATTAAATAAACTTAACTAAATAAAGCAGGTTGCTTTAACTCCTGGGTAAAACTGAGCATAAGAAAATACTCCAATCTTTGGCGATCGCTAAGGGCCCTCACTCTTGAGTGTTGCCCTGTAAAGAACGGCAAACGCGCTTTACACACATGTGGTAGGAGCTCCTCATCTGTCCCATTCTGCGCTGGCTCCTTAGTAACCTCCCTGTTTAGAAAGGAATGAACTCTTGTAGCATCTTCTTCCTTCACAAGTTTTGTTTGTTACTGGTGGTTCTGGGATTGAACTCAGGGCTTCACGCATGAAGGCATAAGCTCCTGAGTGATAGTCCCTGCACAAACACGTCTATAATGTTCACTAATCTTGCTCACATATCTTAGTCGACTGATGCAATATAGCCAGGACGGAGAATGCCAATCCTAGGGGAACCTCCTGCAGGGAACACAAACAGGCACCGCACACTTTACCTCTCTCTGCAGACTTGAGAAGCTCTTGATAATACCTCCTACACACATTCACTTCCTTTTCTAGCTGAGTTACATCCGAGCCTGAAAATATTTGGGATTCCTGGCTATCCTCCAGAAAATCTTCCAAACGAGACTGGAGGTTACTGAGAACCTGCTGGTGTTCGCCAGGCAACATTGTCTTTATCTAAAGAAAAGAAAAGAAAAAAGATCTTTTGATTAATGACGTAGTGCGCAGAGTTACACCTGGGTGGGACGGATCACAGATGATGTCACGGTATTCGTCAGCTTGCTCGCAGCTAAAGGAAACATCTGAAACTAATATTCTTTTATTTACTTCAGGAGCATAGCCTATAGCAGAGTAGAATTATAGTTCCCTATAAACAGATGAGGGGAGATGAGATTTGGTACTTATATGACATGGAATAAGGAAATTGTAGGAAGATGGAAGGACTCAGACTAATCTCAGAACGATCAAAGCACCGGTTCTCCCTCGTGTGGAGCCCAGCCTACAGTATGTGAGCAGATAAGGAGACAAATATGCATGTGTGTACAGCATGCCACCCAGAAAGGAGAACTAGGGCCTGAGAGACGGCTCAGACGTTAAGAGCACTGGCTACTCTTCCAAAGGTCCTGAGTTCAATTCCCAGCAACCACATGGTGGCTCTCAACCATCTAAAATGAGATCTGGTGCCCTGTTCTGGTCCGCAGGCATACAAGCAGGCAGAATGCTCTACCAATAATAAATAAATAAATCTTTAAAAAAAAAAAAAAAAAAAAAAGAGAACAAGACAGGGCACCAGGGGTCAGGAAGAACAAATGCAGGCAAAGGACACTGGAGTCATGACAGAAAGTATAGAGCTAATTGTCTTTCTAGCTTCCACTCTTACATGGATTTTTAGGTTCTGGTGATGGAGAAGTGAATTAAAAAGATGCTTGATGGTGAAAGCATGAAATCGAATGTAAAGCACCGCAGCTTCAGAATGGCTATCCTAGCCACACAGAAGTTCCTTGAGGTATACAGACTTTGAGTCTGTTAATTTGGGGTTATGATTTTTTTTTTCACTTTCATGTTCTTTACAATACTACGATAAAGTTTTAATTGAAAGAAGACAAGTAAGGAACACTGATGAAATTAAATGGGTGAAATTTAAACATACCCACTCTCTCCGCCCGAACACCTAGCTCTGGCTTCTTACCTTCAGGGAGCACTGAGCAAGGCAAGATCTGCAGATTCCCTTGCCTGCGGAGCAGCCTCATCTGACAAGCCCCAGCAGCACTCACTGAGTCCCGGCCAGCCTGGACCTGCGGGCTCCGCCCACCGCAGAGCAAATGCAAACTTCACCCCATACGACAAGGCACCTCGAATTCCGGGACACATGGGGTAACGTGCACCTTTACACTCACCGAGGCCACGTCACTAGCCCGAATTCTGTCAATCTCGTTGACTAGATAATGCCAGGAGACCACACTCTTCATGTTTATGTGAGACTCATGCCACAGGGTGAGCACACTCTGGTACTGCTGCTCAATCCTGAAACGTACACAGGAAAACACGGATCGTGACCCTGTCTGCGCCTTTCTAAACGGCCCCTGTGCAGTTCTAGCGCCTTCCAGGCCAGCGGGTCCCTGGCAAAGTACTGGTGGCTTCTTTAGCCTTTAGAAAGTGCCCCAGCCATACAAACCTGTTGGCAAAGTCAAGGGCTTCTTTGTTTGGTGGGGGAACCGTGAAACACACAGATGGAACCATGGCCTCGTTCCCAGTGGGACTAATGACTTTCCATTTAGCACGGTGGGAGTTGTTTGCCAGAACACATTCGTCGTCTTTATAAATGGTTATCTGGTTTTAAATGAGAGGAGAGCTGAGGTCACCATTAACTTATCTTCTTCCATACATACACAATCTTGAGGATTATTATTACTTTTTATGACACAGAGAAAAGCCTTCTAACTAGGAAGCATTATGACCTCATTTTTAAAACACATTGATGAATGGCAGAATCTGGTCTGCTTTGAGGACTATGGGTACCTCGATCTGTCTGTAGTCACAGATAGCTTTGATGGGGATGGATGTTTTGAGCAGATTGTCAGGGTTCCTTGGCTTCAGCTGCACGATGGTCTTGGCTCTCCCCATCAGGCCTGCCACTGAGCTCCGGTACTGTAGAAGCTCTTCCTTCTCTTCCTAGTCAGGAAAACATGGTGGATTTTTAAAATTAATGATTAGAACTCTCCATTCTATAGGGACACACTGCAAATAAAACTTCGACACTGAAGTGTGCGCTGACCATTGGACCATACTTTCCACATCTCACACTCCCTCCTGAGTTCCTTCATTTGGTCTGGTATTTGTTTTTTCCTTTCTGGCATTATTATTATCTAACCTTCTACAGACATTTTGCTTTTCAGTGTACTCTTGTGGAGCTAACTTTTCATATCCAGGTACCACAAAGGGAAAGTGATTCCTGTCTGTTTTATTCACTGTTTTATCTCCAGACATGAAAACTGCCTGGGAAAAGCAGGTGTGTACCCAGGATGTGCTTGTAGAATTACTGTCTCACACACCACTGCTAAGGACGTTTAAACAAAACTACCCAAAGGCTTAACTGAATGAGACGCTGGTGTGGATGAAATAAGACCCTGCACATATAAACATGTAACAGAACACTAATCTGCCCTGTTAAGCGTGTGACAAAGCCCAGCCTGTGCATCAGTACCATGGACTCCTGCACGAGGTCTTCCAGTCTGTGGACGCTGCTGGATCTGTCACAGCTGTACTTGCGCTGAATGGCATCTTTCAGATTCCTTAGGTAGTCAGTGGCTTCTTTGGCATCATTGAAAAACTAAGGGAAGATGAAACGTGGCAGCTGAAGCCCACTGAAGGCTAGTAAGGCGCAGGGTTGTTATACCTGGCTGCCCAGGCCCCTGTTCGACCCTGACACACAGTTAACAGCACCACCCTTTTTGGAACTGAAAATAGCCCTTGCACTTGGATGGCTACAGATGCGTATTAACCACCCAAAGTGTACCTGCATAGTATGTACTATGATTAGGCTCTATAGTATTTTGCTTGAAAGTCTGTTTTACTTTAGGGGTCAACCAGTCTTTTAAGTAGGGGTGGGATTTTAAAAATAATTAATTAAAATTTCTACAGAATGAAATGAAGTCTTTATTCGGTTGACTCTGAAAAAAAATATCGTTCCTTAATGTGAGACAAATTTGTAGAATGATTTGTACAATATTTAAAGGTCTTTTAAAGGATTTGTTCTGAAGTGTGTGTGCATGCACGTGAGAGTGTGTAAATCAGAGATCAACAAATTGGATGTTTTTTCATATTTCTCCACCCTATTCTTTTGGGATAGGGTCTCTCGCTGAACCTGGGGCTCTCTCATTTGGCTAGGCTGGCTAGCTGGAGAGCCCCAGGGATCCTCCTGCCTACACAGTCCCAGGCAGCTCACTTTCTTCTCTTTCTTTCCTTTCTTAAAATATGGTTTCTGAAGATTGACCTCAGGGAAAACAATTTACCAACTAGGCCATCTTCCAGCCACAGGACTTCATCCTTAACAGTTAAAGCTTGCCCCGTAAGACATGAAAGTAGCACTGAGACCCTGTAGAGAGAGTACTGGTTCATTCCCCTGTGTGCTCTGCACACGTTTCTTTATGCCGTTTCTGCACCGCAGCCCGAATGGCAGCGCTGAATGTCCAAGCCGCGAGGCCGCACACGCACCTCAAAGTATGCAGCGTTCTCCTGGATGTGCTGCTCCACGCACTGGCAGAGCTGCAGGACCCAGCTCCACTGTGTCTGCATCGCTGCCCTGTATGCCTTCGAGAGAAAACACACGCTGAAAGCCAGGGCAGAGAGATAAAGAACAGAGGACCAGCCCGCCTCCAACACCGCCAAGCGTGCGCTCAACAACAAATGCGTGCATGGCGTCTGCGGTCTCATCTCCCACACCACGAATTCTGATGCGCTTGCTTATTGTTTTCACTGTCTTTCTTCTTTCCCTCCTTGCTCTGAGACAGAATGTCACAGCCCAGGCCGTCCTCAAGCTTGTGGCAACCCCACTGCCCCAGACTCTCATTACAGGCTGGGCAAGCCATCATGGCCAGCTCAACGTTGATGGCTTCAAATCATATTCTACTATCCAAAGAGACAAAAAAACAAAACAAAAACAAAAGCCAACTCTTTTTTTTGTTGGATAGAACTGAAGTAGAGAATTTTCTTATATGAGAAATTATCTCTTATTCAGCTGGTCTTAAATATAAACATGTAACTTTAAAACTAGCCTAGATAATTTTTCTCAAATTTCTAATTGCTTGATTTTTTTCTTAATATACGAGGAAAGGCTATTTTATATGGAAAGTTTACATTTGAAAGAAATACAAATCATTCCCTCTATTTATGAAGTTAACCCCTTCTTAGCACTTGGTCACTGACCCTCACACCTGATTTTTAAAATACTAAGTATGCTTTCTTCTTCTATACTACCCCAATTTTTCCCTTTTCTGGATTTTTAGATTACTGACCCAAACAATGTGTGTTAAAACAGATACACAGATCTGTAGTTTTCTTTTGCGTTTTGCCGCAGAAGATTTGAGGGGGGTAGAAAATGAAGCATCTACTTTTGTGTCAATGCAAGGTTTCCTAAAACTTTAAAAACTCATCCATTTGAATGTTACTACAGCGTGTGTCTCTCAGGAAGGAAATCACTGCTGTGGGGCGCACACGCCTAGCTCATCATCAATTGTGCCATTCCCTGCCTCCCAGAAGAGGGAGCTCTGCAAGCCATCAAGCCGAGCTGAGCCTGTCCCTGCTTCCGGGAAGGAGCCACTGCTCCTGAGCGCAGGGTTCAGGCAGGCTTTCCTGCAGACGTACACTTAGCTGCCCGTGGGAATCTAGCAATATATCATATTATTTGCTCCTAAAACTAAGCTACATTTCTGTTTATTACACACGGTAAGGACACGTGCTAACACAGAACACCCTTCCATCCCCGTCAGATGAATTTCCTCACAAGCAGCTCCACAGGGCCTAAGGGAAAAAGCTGCTACCTCTATCCTAAGAGACAGTTATGGGAAAGATCAGTACGATTCGTTGGGAAAGTTATTTCTGAGCCAGACTGTAGTAAACGCTCAGTAGCTTGATTTTTTTTTTTTTTAAATAAGCAAAAGAGGTGTAAGGTTGAAGCTCTATCAGACCTCAGCCGGGCCCTCTAGCTTTCTTACCTCTATCGTCAACCGGGCTGGGTGGTTTTCTAGAAGCAGCTGCTCTGCGATCTCCTGGACAGCTTTAATGCTTTCCTCCTTCTGCTCCAGTTCCCTCATTAGCTCCTGGCGAGGAAGCAGTAAGAAGCGTATGAGAAGAGGTGGCGGGCCCCTTCAGGTCTGGCACAGGTGCCAGAGTGTGAGGCTGACTCACCGCATGGTAGCCCTTCTTCCGAGCAACGCTCGTGTTCCTCTCACTCCAGTCATAAGCCACCTCCTCCTCTTCTTTCTCATTCAACCAGATAAGCTCATTAGTTGCCCGAGTAACAAAATTATGGAGAGTATCAAGGTGCCGCTCCTGGTTTCTGGATGTGTTCTTTTTAAGGGAAACCATTGTAAGAATCAGACCGTCAGCATACAGACATAATAGAAATAGAACATTTGAGGCAAACAAATTCAAAAGGAAAAAAAAAGCCTTACCAAGAGTTTTGCATACTGACTCTCTAATCTGTGCAACTTATCTGTGTAAGAGAGCTTAAGAGGTGCTGTCATCTGAATCTAAAATATGAAAGGAAACACATGGAGGTCAGGCATCTTAAGTTCTGACTAATACCAATTATCAAATTGCTGGGTCTTTATGTAGAAAGAAAGTAATACCAACTACAATGAAATAGTTAAAAAAAATTCATATACCTCACTAATTTTAGCTTCTTTAAGGCTAGACTCAAAATCTTCAATGGCTTGGTGAACATTTTTATGGTTTTCTAAATGGCTTTCGACACTTGGCAAGTCTGAGCCCCATTCAGTGTGGTCCAGCTGCACCTTGAATAACAGAATACTAGTTTTAAAAACAGCAAGAAGAAGAAGGTTCAGGAGTAGGACTGGAAAGCTGAGGTAAACATTACCTGCATCTCCTCAACCCAGTTCAAGAGATCTTGAACGAACTTCATATTGACTTCTTCTTCTGTCAAATTCTGATCCAGCAAAGATGACTTCAGCAGTGGTTTTCGGATCTGCATGAGCTTCAGCGTCTGTAATGAATTTGGCTCTACTCCTAAACTGAAATTTGGAGCTACTACTGAAGGGAAGCCAGGTGTGTAAGCTGGAGTGACAGACGGAGTCAGCCGGGAAGTCATCCCTGATGACAAGCCCGAAGTCACACTAGAAGAGGTCAAGGAAGGTGTTAAACTCTGGGTGAGCCCTGAGTTCAAACTGGGGTGTAGGGTCTGTGCAAATCCTGAGTTTAGACTTTGAGTGATTCCTGATATCATGAGCTTGGTTTGTTCCGTGGTCAGCATTCGTCCTTTGCTGTAAACGGAGGCGCATTCATTCCTTAAGGCCACAATTTCATCACGCAGCTTTGCAACCCTGCAAAGAACATGAAGAGAGATGAGGTGTGATAGGAAAGGCCGAGGCAAACTTGCTGGCCTGGCTGACAGACCAGTACTGGCTCTGCAATGGTGCCAGTCAGGTGGCACCACTGCAAGATGCTAATGTAGGGGCGCCGAGAAGGCGCACAGGAGCTCTGCTTTCAACTGTTGTTCTGCAGACCTGCACTGCTTGATAGACACCTGTTTTAAGAACATCATTGAAACCACTGTGGTAAAAATCTGCCTCAAGAGAGGAAAGGAGGGTGGCAATTGGGGGAGGGAGGGATGGGGCCACCACAAAGATGTAAAGTGAATAAATTTTTTTTTTACCTCATGTTTTGTTTTCACTGAATAGCATACTGTGAGACCTCTCCACATTGTTAGTCTTTATAACCATCATTTATAAGGAACAAAATTATATGCCATAAAGTGATGGTTCTATTATTTGATATTTAGGATAGTAACATTTCTTATAAAATATTTCTGGAACGAACGTAAACTTTTCTAATTTTATATACTTAGTATTGACACATAGAATAACGGTTGGCTCTTAGAAGTGAAATTTTTTGCTCAAATGTGATTTACAAAGTTTACTGTCATAAGTACACTGAGATGGTTTGCCAGGCTCTATTCTTTCTGCTCCCATAGCCTTCTCAGCGTGGGTTCTGTATCTGCTGCTCACTTTTTTGATGGTCTTTTTTCTCCTTGAGGCAGAGTCTTGCTATGTAGCTCTTGCATTTATGATTCTTCTACCTAGGCCTGAGAGCTGAGAATCCACGTGGGGTGTCATCATACACAGCTTTACCATCTTATACACACATATTTTTCTAATGTTTGGTCATGACCATTTTCGTATTGGAGTAAACAAAAAAAACCTAACTGAAGATGAGAACTTTTCTTAAACTAATTCCTCTTTTAATATTGAAATGAGAATAATAATTATTTTTATATTTTATTATTATTATTATTTGGAGGTCTGAGGATCAAACCCATGGCCTTAACTATGCTTAATTAAATATTTTCACTCTACCTCTGGGTCACATCCAACGACCCACATCCTACATGTTTCAAAGTAAACATAGACATTTAAAATATTCATTTTAATGACTCCAGTATTTCTGTGACAGCAAATGTTGTATTTATTATAAATGCTGATGCTACTGAGTTCTATCAAAATACTACAATTCTCATTTAATAATTACTTTTACTTTGTAAACTCCCATCACGTACTCCCCAAACGGATACTGAAAAGCAACAGGGACGGCTCCCACCTCTGCACCAGCTGATCTGCCTGGTAGTACTTCCCGTCAATCAGAACCTGCACGTCAATCACATGCTGGCGGAGAAGGTTCTCACACTCAAGAATGTACCCGGCGATTTCTGCTTCATTCTGAAACTGCACTCCCGATTCTAATCTTTTGGAATCCTACATTTAAAAGAACTCAGTATTAATTCTGGGAAACCAAGGTCAAAACCAGCTTTAAACTTCAAACTCCAAAATGTCAGAAGGGAAGCCAGTAGCCATGATGGGCTTTATTTATTTTGGAGCACATATATGTTTTCCTTTCACGCTCTGCCTCCCAAGAGAGAAAACATCAATCATGATATTCCAAAGTCTCTGCAGAGGACAAGGCCCGGGAGTCGAGGACCGCTCCCAGCTTACCCAAGCACACACAAGCCCTCTGCAGCAAGCCCCGGCTCTGAAATCAACTTACAGACTGGAGAGCATTTCGGGCAAGGAGCAGTTTGTCCTCACAGATGACACTGTCCCTCTGAACTCGGGTAGCGATCTGCTGCAGCATATCCAACCTGAAAGGGACAAAAGAAAAAAAAAATTCTTCTTGAAGTCAAAGAGCTCACCAGTCCTGAAACACAATCCTGCCAGGGAAGAAAAGCCATCCTCACATCGATGACTCCATACCTGTGTCCATCAAAGGACTCATTGCCGAAGCTAATGCAGGAGTTGATCAATGTGGGGCCACAATGAACAGACAGAAGGTTCTCGTTTGAATCTAGACTGGTCCGAGTACTGGTGGTGTTAGTAAATACAGAGTCGCTGCTACGATAGCTGTAGCTACTGCTCTGCATTTTCAGTCCTGAAATAGTATCCTAGGACCATGAAAGTAGGACTGCAGAAAGCTCAACTTCTCTACCTGGTGAAGACTAGCCTTGGTGGAGTGACACGGCTTTAAGGGATCCTTACTTAAATATGCTTCAACATGCATATGCAACACTGCAAATACTATGCTGGTAACTATTCAAAAGAATCATGCCTACAGCCATTCATTTGCTTGCTGAGGTTTGCCTTTTGTAGCCTGTCTTAAAGCCCTGCAAGTACAGACACAGCGGGACGGCTGGGCGTCACTGGAAAAGATATGCCAAATATTTTCACTAAGAGTCATCCAGCTCCAACCACCTAAAAAACAACCCGGGTACCCAGGAACCCAGGTATCACCAGTAAAGGTGATTCTATCAGTACCAAGTGCCAACTGAAAGGATACAAAGCTCAGATCACAGGTAAACTTCTGCAAACAGATGGCAAGTGCTGGGTGACACAAAGCAAGAAGCTGGGATAAGCAATAAGTCAATAATCAATAAACCAGCAAGTGAATTTAGCGAGAAACAAAATCTGTTCCCGTTTGCCCATCCTGTCATTTGTTCACCCTGTTAAATTAACTGGAAAAACGGTCGATTACTTTTCTTTGAATGGTGGACCCTCTCAGTAATGCTACGTTTTAACCACTGCAGCTCACATTCTACAAGCCGAAAACTCGAAGCCGAGTATTGGCTCAGTAACTGCAGATGTGTCTGGGCTTGCTTCTCCTTCACACAGACGAGAAGAGGGCCCCAGAACATTGATTCTTTCCTGTTTGTCTTCCACACTCTCCAAGCCACATAGCTAAATCTGCAATACCTAGTCTGTGCCAAAAAAAAAAAAAAAAAAAAAAAAAAGAAAACAAAAAACAAACCACACCCAACAAAACAAAAAAAATCTTGTGTCAAGAAAAATAAAAGTTTTTACCCAACCAAGTTCCCAAATATTTCCCTACCTCCAACACTACAAAGCCAAACTGATGTTTCTTTGCTCTGAGTTAAACATTTTAATGTTCTAAAGACATTTAAATGCAGGAACAGCTGCACCTTGCACTTACTGTACAGTCACTATGTACTAGGAGACTGTAAACATTTTACACACACAACCTCATCTCATATTCATAACCACCAAATGTGGTTCCAGACGAGGAAACTGAGGCCTAGAGATTTAAGACCGTGTCTATGATCACGTGACTTTCCGGCTCAAGTAACAAACTTAATCCAGAGCAGACTGGCTCCTGAATCTTGAACCCTCAAGTGCTGTTAGCTCACTGTTGTGGTTTGAATGCATCTCAAAAGGACCATGTGTTCGAAACGCGATCCCCAGGGCAGCACACTGAGATGTGAAGAGCTGAACAGCAATTAGATCATGAAGGCTCAACCCTTGTGAATAAATTAGTGTCAGTATCAAAAGAGCAGCATGGTTGCTGCTCCAGTGGATGGAAAGGAGTCTGGCCGCTTGGCTGTAGTGCTTCGGCGAGCACCTGAGCTCTCCTAGGCCTGCCTGGTCTCCCACCTGCCACCCCACCCCACCCTCCTTCCCTTCAAGGCCCGTCTGCCACGTGCGGCACAGGTGCCAGCACCAGACTGAATTTCTCAGCCTCTACAAACTCTGAGTCACCAATGTCCTCTTCTCTATTTCTTGCTTTAAGCACAGGACACAGCATTTTATTTAGCCCACGCTGTCCTGCAACTTTCCACGCTCCTGTTTTAGCTTCCCAAGTGCTGGGCTTTCACAGACTTGTACCTAGATACACAACCCTAAGCAACAATGTTCTTTTCTGTTACCCAGTCTGTAGCATTCTGTTGCAGCAAAGACAGTGGATTAAGACACACATTAAAATTCAGATACTGCTATAGTGACTAAAAATCTACCTTTTCTCTGTATCTTAAAGTCAAATGATTAATACCTCATTTTAATCATCTGTAAGAGCTATAGCCCATGCATTTGAAGCTCATTTGGATTCTTCTGTTCTGTCTACAGAGACATTGTGACTTTACACGTTAACAGGAGTATAACTAGTAATCATGGGCTGACAAGCTAGACTTGCCTTTGTATCTTTAATTCATTATTACACGCCAGCATTAAAGTCAGTGTGCGAGACAGTAAGAATGCAGCTACACTGAGCCTCTCTGCTACGTGCCTGGCATTAAGCAAAGCACTGGTAAGGGACCCAAATGATAGCTTGTCTCCATATTCTTAGACCTGATGTCTAAGAAACAGGTGGCTTGGAGGAAACATGAATAAATATGAAATTACAACCAAGGTAAGCACTCTGAAAACTACTCATCAATACTTAGCCAAAAAAAAAAAAAAAAAAAAAAAAAAAAGGCCTGTAACCCAGCCTGTGACAGTACAGGAAGGAATATGGAGGCCGAGGTCTGAGAAGGGTTACGAGTACAGAGGAAGAGGGAAGGGAAACAGATTCCCTGCCACAAGAACAGGCTGTACAAACACCCTGGGAGGAGAGGAGGCTGGAACCCAGGATGCGAGAGCTCGTGAGGGACAGCCTGAGTGCCTGCTCTGCAGCCAGAGAGCTGCCTGAGCACACAGGCCTTCAGCTGTAATGGGGGAGGGGAGGACAGAGAGCAGGAGTCTCCTGTACTACAGCAAGGTGGCAGGATAGCCGTCACAGGAGATACATCCCCGTGACATGGCTGGGCATGCATGCAGCTCAGTACAGGGGACCTGCCTAGAAATTCTAAGAGCTGGCCTAGAACCCCAGCACTCGGTGGGGGTGCTTCCTGAAGGTTAAGGGGTACTTTCTTGGGCAGTGAGGTACAGTCAGAGCAAGAGAACGTGCAGTGCATGACAAATTTGTAGGCTAAATTCACAGTAGAAGGGGAGCCCAGACCGGCATTCGCTGTGTGTTTCTGTTGCTGTACTTGAGACAGGGACTCGGGTAGCACAGGCTGGCCTCTGACTCAGTACATGGCCAAGGGAGAATGACTGTGAACTTCTAATTCTTCTGCCTTCGCTTCCCAGCTGCTAGAAATTACAGGCATGTGCCACTGCATGCAATTTTATGCAGTGCTAGGGATGGCCCAGGGCTGTAGATGCTAGACAGGCACTCTGCTGACTGAGCTACACCCCAGCCTCCCACTGTCTTTTAAGTAGAAGTACTTCCACTGCTTTGAGAGAAGGTCATATTATAGAGAAACAAAATAGCTAATCCCTAAGCCATGAGCTTCCAAACCTGGGTCCTGGTAACAACTTAAGGGTCTTTTGAGAAAGACTTCTGGGTGCTTTTTTTCCTTTTAAACTATGATACCTTATTAGATGAGACTCCACACAGTAATTCAGCCTATCAGGTCCTTTAAACAGTCACTAAAGTGTGGGTCTATCTGACATGGGCTTGGCTGCCTGCTTTTGCATCCTGTTCCCCTGCTGGGCTGACTTGCCAGCCTCTATAGAAGAGGATGTACTAAGGCCTGATGTGACTTGATGGGCCATGGTGGACTTGTAAGGGGATAGGGGAAAAGGGGAAGAGGGTGAGACAGACAGAAAAGAAGGGAGGGGCCTGTGATCAGGATGTAAAATGAATAAATTTATTTAAAAAGAGTTCTTGTTACCATTTCTAGATAAGGAAATGGAGGAACGAAAATACAAAGAGACTTATCCAAGACCATACCAAATAAATGGAAAATGTAATTTGTGTGAGCCTCAGGTCCCAGAGAAAGGTCATGTCTCAAATAACATGGGGGACAGTATCTAAAGAAAAACCCAAGGCTGAACTCTGACCTCCACATGCAAGTACACCTAAGTGCCCAGGCAGTCATGAACACACACCAAGTAAAAAAAAAAAAAAAAAATCAACTAAGCAACCAAACAGAACAAATGCCAAGTTCTAAGAGCGTGAGAATGGAGAGCCCCTTGCGGCGGGCTGCACAGGGCTGCACAGGGGACAGCTTCCTACCTCTCCACCTCGGGACGAAGCGCCTTCTCCCGTTCAAGCATGGCAATGATGAGTTTACCCCACTCCTTCTCTATGTCATTTGGATGATAACCTTGGAGGAGTTTGATGCGGCCGAACTCTATCCATATCTTAAGGAAACGAAATAATTAACATAAAGCGAAGAAGTGAAAACAGTTGAGAGTATGCTGGAAAGTACTGAGAATGTTTGGCTCACCTCTAGTAATTTATATAGTCGTTTAATTTTTGATTTTTCTGTCTCCTTTGGTGGAATTTCTTTTTCTTTAAACTGTAAGTACTGATTATAAAGTGCCTGTAACGAAGAGAAAAATAAATTATGGTCCATCTGCAAACCCTGCTTTCATAGTGTTATCCCCTCACAGGCTGTTTGCTGTCTCACGGGCACTCAGGAGACCCTCCTTCTGGATTCAGTGCTCCAGCTGCCAGGCAGCTGTGTGTGTGCTGAGTTACACAGGACTGGATAACCCAGCTGATGTGATGGCTCTGTTAAAAAGACCCAGCACCCACACACATCCTTCAGAGTCTAAGCTTTCCAAACTCCAGATGTTGGCTTTCAGTTTCAAGAAAACAGTTGGATGCAATTTGCATAAAGGAAGAAGAACACCTGTTTTCATTTAGGCTTTGGCTCTACTTTGTGGCCTCACCATACCACTGTCAGCTTCAACAGTTTTCTGGTTTTTGTTTCCTAACAAAGGAAGGTAGATGTTATTAGTTGATGTTACTTTTGTAGATGCTTCAATCATTTAATTATCATCTCATGTATGAACCTCCTAAAATGTTTATATTCAAGGCCTTCCTAAAAATTGCATAAGGAAAACACTTTCATATTTAAAAGGTGCATACTAATCAGTTAAGCTTAATTTATGCTATATCAAAATACACATTTCTGTAAGACTCTATAAAGGCTTCTGAACTTATAGAAATATTTGCCAATTCTTCAGGGTATGTTTTCTTTTTTTTCCTATACAACCCACTACCAAGTAATCTGTGTGAACACTCAGATGCCTACAACTTTAAATAAGTCAGAGACCAACACAAATTTGCTCAATGGTCAACAAACAAACAAACAAACAAACAACCCCTGGGAACCCATTTGGAAATAAGTGTATTTATACATTAAATGCAAAACCTATATTGAACCCAAATCAAAATCTTGTAGGTTGCTATCAGACATTAATCACCAAATGTCAGTATGTGCGAAAACACTGTTTATGGCTCCATGTTGCAGTAGAAAAGGCAGGCTTTCATAGTCTTACAACAGTAAGACCCTACAAAAATGTCTTCTTTAAATTATTCAACAAATAGCAAGTAACTCTGTGCCAAGGACAGACTTCCTGTGGCAATGAGAAGAAGAGCCACACCACAGATGTTCTGAACAGATGTGTGAGCACAACAAAGAGCTTTCATGGGGACTATGATGTATTGTTACAACTTTTGTGATTCCAGGCTGAGAGTTAAAACAAAGCTTATTAAGTGAATTAAAGCGACTCTGTAGTCAATATTCATAATAGTGGTTTGTTAAAAACAAACTGCTTTTGCTATGTCAAATACAAACATACAAAACGACGGCTTATTCTTTGATAAGCTTACGTATTATGATTCCTTTATATTGCTGTGATATCTTTCTCAGTAATCTTACCTAAGATTACAGTATTAGCAAAGGTGTGCTAAACCATGGCAATTCACAGCAGCCTATGAGTGCCCATTCTCTAAACCCATGTGCACTCTACTTGGATCTGTATAAAAATCCACAACATGCAGGATGTGCCTTGTGCTCTACAAAAGAACCCCTTCGGGCAGCTTCTAGCCTGATCAAAAGGGGCATGCTCTTGATCACTGCTCTGCGTGTGAGCCTCCTGGGGAGCCTCTGGTCCCAGTGTCTGGTGGGCTGCTAGCACTTCCCACCCGTCATGTAAGATCTGGCCATGTCAGCCCCCGAAGCTCTCAAATTCTTCCTTCAATTCTCAACAAACCAAAGCTTGGGGAATGCAACTTCTTGAAGATGCTGTTGCTGTAGTGTTTTGATTATTAATATTTACCTCCACTTTCTCTATATGTAAGGAGATGGGTAATAAAAAAGTTGTCTACTATAATGTACGGCTTGCCAATGGCGACTTATCTTGAACCTGAGATTATGGGGTTAACCCAGCATAGTTAAAAGCTTCCAATGAAGGCAACCCTGCGGAACTTTTGGAATACACCAACCTTCAGTTCTAGAGGATTGTTAGGAAATGTTCTCTCCGACATCGTGACCACGTGGTGTCTAATCCACTGGATGAGGTAGTTCACCATATTCTGGTATTCGATCCATTTGACTTCAACATCCTAGACAATAAAACAGCAGGGAACGTTTGCATCTTAGGGGGGTGATAACACTCATCTGCCACAAAATTTGTCAGCCACGTTCCTGTGAGTCCAGGTGTCTTGAAGCTGGTCAGGTAAACGTTTTCCTAGTTTCCACTCAGCTACAATTCTGTCCACACAAACAAAATTAAGAACATGCCATCCACATTTGGCCACTACCTGGTCCCAACGAGTGCCAGTTCTGGCCCACAGATAGCAGCTATCTGGGACAGACGCTGCATCAAAGAAGTTTCTGGGGCTTCAAAAAGAGGCTATGATCTGGGAGGTTTTTCGGGGCTCAACCTAAGGGGAGTAACAGCTTGCACGAGCCAGGCTAACCATCTCTGCCAACCGCTGCACATCTATGTCCCCCAATATCTGACACTTGGCAAAGTTACAGGAGATGTAGGGACCAGACAGGAAGGGTCAGATATGATGGGATTTTCAAGTACTCATTAAACAAACTCTTTCAAAAGGGAAGAAGCTGGAAGGCTGTCGGCTGTTATGTAATTAAGTTCCTGAAGAATGCTTATTAGGTGACACAATTGCATTCACTGTTACGATAAGAAGCAAAACTTTGGAAGCATAGTATCTGCAGTCAGGCGTTCTTGTCTAACTAGGGAGAAGAGAAAATCACTGTAAGAACAGTTAAGCAGCATGGGGAGCAGAGCCTAAGTGTTCAGATGACTGAAACAGGCAGCACATGCCAAAAACTAACAAGAAAAATCAGGATACACTTGTGCCTTGCAATGGTCACCAGAGGCTTCTTGGGAAAGGTGGGCCCTAAGCAGTACTGTGAGAAGCAGTGAATAGTCACGTGATTGGAGCAGGGCGTAGAGAAAGTGAATAAAAGATATGAGTCCCAAAGAAAGCAGGGCACTGACCCAGAAATGCTCTACCTATAAGCAGTTGGTTAAAACTACAAAACCACGGCAAAATTGCCAATAATGATAATCAAAATGCAGCTCTGACTCCTGAACCGTCTGAATGGATTTTACCCCTTAGCCTGCAAACGTAATGCCAAAGACACCGAGGTATATGAAGACTAATTTCATGTAGGCAAAGTTAATGCAAAAAGATGGAAAAGTGTAAGCTACCAAGCCCAGGTCTACATGAAGAGGAAGGTGAAACTAGGCGAGAAGATAAAGGAAGGAGCTAAAGGAAACATTCCGCAGCAACAGCTCAGACATGAAATGGAAACACACTGCTTAGAGATCCTACAGGTTAAGAGCTTTGTGTGAAAGGCAAGAAGAAGGGAACAAAAGTAGATCTAGAAATAATACCACAGAGTAGTGACATAGACAGTCAGGAAAGTGGGCACAAGGCTTCCAAGCAACGCATAAACATCCATCCGTCCGTTCGTCCATCCACCCATCCATCCATCCATCCATCCACCCATCCATCCATCTGTATGTCCATCTGTGAGAAGGAAGGAGCAGCCTGAAGTAAAGGGGCATCACCCTCAAACGAACATGGCTTCCCGCTCACTTCTAGCATGTGTATAGTTTGGCCACATCAGGGTGCAGAGCTGGGTCAAATGCCGCAAGCCTTTGAAAAGTGATGACCTGGTAGGGTCACTATAGCCAAAGCTGTGTGTCAGAAACCTGGCTTTGGTCACCTGGCCAAATGCAGAGCCCTTCATCTGGGCCTCATCTGTTCAGTCAGAAAACAACTAGAGTCAGCTCATTTCACGGGGTCTTCCGAGTCAGCTTTGAATGCGTTCTAGAGTGAGATGGCCTAGCTGCAGAGCCAGCAGTTGCCAAAGGGCAGCAAGCTAAAAAGGAAAATCTCTACATTTTGGTGACTCGTAACTTTCATTCACAGATGTGCTGTGACTCAGGTCATTTCCTTCATTTGTGAGACAGGACAACTTTTTTAGTTACACTTCAATTTCAATGGTAGAATGACACTGTGAGATATACATACTATCAGGAAAAAAGCACATTGGCTCCAACACTTGCATGGCACTCAGAATCTCTTTGTAAAAGCCCTTGCACTAATGAGCAGCCGATTCAGCTAAGCAGTTCTGGGTTGGACAGCGGCTCCGAGTGTCGAAGAGCCAGTACTTACGTTTGCACCAATGCCTTCACCACCTTCGGGGACTTTGGGAAATGCATCATAGAGGGACGATACATAGGTTATGACTGATTTTTCATCGGGCGAAGAGACATCAACATCTGCAAGCAGCAACAGGAACGAGTTACTTCACAATGCTAACAGGTGGCCACTGAGGAGGCGCCCATGCCAGCGCAGGTAAGAGAAAAGACAGCTCACCTTCGGGGTCCAGAAGTCTGATAACGCCGATTTTCTCAGCTACATAGAAAGCGTGCTCTAAATTTGCAAGGTTGCTTTGAACAGCAACAGTATTCATGTCTATCAGGTCCGGCCTAGGCAAAAGCGCACCGTGTTAAGTTTCTTACATGACAGTTCACCCTGACAGCTGCATGTACGAGCAGCTTAAACGACAGCATCTGCAAATACCAGTGCTAGACCCACGTTGAGACTGACACAGCCCTCAAGGCAGCGGCTCTCCACCTCTCTAACGCTATGACCTTTTAACACGGCTTCTCACGGTGCAGCGACCCCCCCACCATAAAGTTATTTCCACTGCTGCTTCATAGCTGTAATCTTGCCACTGCTAGGAATCGTAACGTAAATCTCTGATATGCAAGATATCTGATGCGCAGAATGTCTGGTTGAGACCTACAAATTGGAAACCACTGCTTTACACAGTTAGCCTTGTTTACCTGCCTCAGAAGACTGCATGGCCCAAAAGAAAACACACACACACACACACACACACACACACACACACACACACACACACCCCAAAATAAAAATGCAAGCATATGGTACTTCCACAATCTATAAATGTTCCGCACTCGGCTCTTACCACTGTATCTATCTGTCCTCTTCAACCGACTTAAGCTTCTCTCTTCCCATAACACCCTCCCAAACCAGCCAGCAATTTCTCAGATTCTCCCCAAACTCCAAAGTTTTGTGCTTAGTTTAATGCCATTCTCTGCTCAGGATGTCCTATTTACTTTTTGTTTACAATCCTTTCTCCTTCCAAGCAGAGTTGGCCCTACCTCCTCCTTGGGACACCTCATGATTCCCCAACTCATCATTTCTGGTTCCTGGGCTCCTTGTAGTCCTATGCTATACTCAGAATAGGAACAAGGGTAATTTCATACCTCTTTGCCCTAGTAATTGATGGATATATATGAATATCTTGTTTCTCTCATTATTAACTCCAAAATAGGAAGGACCAAGTCCTAATAAACTTCTACATTCTATCTTCCTACTGAAAAATAAATCTATTGATAAATATCTACAGTGAGCAGGTTGCTTAGTTAGTAGTTTGACTCACAGAATTTCATTCACCTCTGTACTTATAACTTCCCTCATAATCTCTCCCTCTATCTCTGTCTTTGTCTCTCTCACACACACACAATGAGCTTTATCGCTTTCTAATTTGTAAGACATGCTCCTCTACAAAGAGGGATACTCTGAAACTAGCTCTATCTACATGAGGAAGAGGCTTCTCAAACATTCTTTGTATGAAGCGTGGTGGACCGTGATGGGTAGAACCTCACTCACTCTAAGGCTTGCATTTTGAACTCAAAAACAAAACAAACAACAACAAACCAAGCACTAAAAGAATACAGACAAATGTGGAAACAACAAGGTCTCCCAGCAGACACACACCGCTGAACCCCTGCGTTGTCCGCAGCACCCACCCCCTCAACTCTCTGCAGACCCTGATCACTATCACAGGCTCTCAGGTTTGCTCACCAGCATCCCCCAGGGAAACACACCCATAGTGAGGCCTGTGGTATGGGAGGAATGAGTAAGTCACCAGGGACACTGCTCAACGGGTCATTTGCACAAGAAACTCCTTTAAAGTACATCATCAGTCTTAACAAAGAAAAAGCAAATGTACTGTGTTGTACTTTTGTTTGCTTGCTTTTTATAACCTAAAGGAAAGGCAAGATTCCATGTCCTCCACCCCCACAAAAAAAAAACAAAAAACCTGCGTGTATTTTATTAGGTGTTAGAAGGAAATGTTCATGATATGGAAATGTAGCTCCACTTCCTGTTTGTTCACACCCCAGAAAATCATCACAAATTCCTCACTGAGCTCCATGTCCACCAGTGAGCACCACCATTCACCACTGACAGCAGTGACGCTCTAAGGGGCAGCCCTCTATAAATAATGGTGTTTGTTTGTTTGTTTGTTTAATTCATAGGCCCATGACATCTCTTGATGTCAAGAATACTAAACAGGTATGTACAAAAGTCTAGACCAAGTGTCTGAAGTTCTTCCAATAAAAAGTTGTTTTGTGTCCACAAAATTAAAATTTCCCGGAGAAGAACCAGACTTTCTGAGACTGTCGATCTCTGGACAAGAAACAGCATGCTATTATGAGAACCCTGCCATTAGCAAGGACAGTAAACACTGAGTAATCCCAAAGAGAATGAATAAAGTCATTGAAGAATGAAGTTTTTTTGACCAAGAGAATAAAACACAAAACTTCCTTTAGAATGATGTCATTTCTGAACAGAGACAGCTGCACAATACAGTGGGCTGAATAAGGCCTCTTCTCTCTTGAATTTAATACTTTTACAGAACAATAGCTGGAGTGGATGTCCCTACCCAAAGCTTGGAGTAGATAAAGCAAATTAGTTAAGAAAAATATAGAAAAGGACGAAAATCAAAAACCACTGGGAAATATAAAGACCTTCGGAGTCTTCAAAACTGTACTGCCACCATGCTTTGCTGGCCGTTTCTGGTCTTTCAGGGGGCCTTCCCCCTGTGCCTGCAACTTCCTGAGGCTCATTCTCTGCCCTGTCTGCCTCCTCCTCTCATTCCTCTCACTGGAATAACACATTCTTTAAATTTTTCATCTACCTGCTGCTAGGGAAATGCCTCTGTGGGAGAAAGCACTTGCTTTGCAAGCAGAAGCCATCTAAACAGCTGGGCGTGGCGTTGTGTGCCCGAAAGCTCAGCACTGGGTGGCAGAGAGAAATGGATCCCAAGAGCTTGGCTGGGCAGCCTGTCAAAATGGTGAGCTTCAGTTTAGGAGAGACCTTGTCTTAAGGAAATAGTGCAACAGAAGACACTAAGAATCCTGCTCTGGCATCTACATGTGGCCTAAGGACCTGTATGCCACACACACACACACACACACACACACACACACACACACACACACACAGAGTTTAAGTGTGACTATTTACTTCTAAGCAGGTTGTATCAATGGTCAAACAACCTTTAACTCGACTGACAGGAGCTTATTTCCTAAGGCACTGAAAAATAAAACTAAAGTGCCTGCTGCTTCCGTGGGACCCCAGGTGGAAAGGCATCAGATTGGCAGTTCCGAGAGCACGTGACAGTACTGCTTGCTGGCACCAGGTCACTCCCCCCACGAGAACACGCCCAAGCACGGGTCAGGAGGAGACAGCTGTGTGGCCCAAGGACCTGTATGCCACACACACACACACACACACACACTCTACAGACAAAGCAATTCAGATAGATGCTCGCTGCTTACTAGAGATATTTATTCCCACTGTGGCCAGCATCGCTTTCCTCAGAATGTTAGCAGGAATTTCATTTTTAACCTGGTTTAAGTATGAAAAGAGCATCAGACCACACTGCAGGCACACGAAGGCTTTGAGCGTTCCTACATTCCACTCTAAGGAACCGAGTATTAACTATCAACATTTCCCTACTTTTACAGACACTTTTTCTATTTATAGGGTGCAATCTTGAAAAAAAATATATGCTAGGCTTTTTATAAAAAAGTGTTTTTTTTAATTGACAAGTTCTCAATTGTTTTTATTATCTTATGATAATTTAATTTTTCCAAATGACTCAATCATCATGGATTAAGCCTTTTAAAACATCACTACCCATTTCTAAAAGGTTAGAAATGTATCACTTAGAATGTATCATTTAGAAATGATACAATAGAAGTGAGATACAATTACATAAATTTTAAATTGAAAATATAAGATCGAAAGGACATAAAGTCAAGTTGGAAATGTGATCAGAAAGTGCAAAATGACATATGTGGTGGTACCCAACTTAAATTCCAGCACCACGAGCCAAAGATGCATGGATCTCTTGTATGGGGCCAGCCTGGTCTTCAGACAGAGTTCTAGGCCATCCAGGGCTATGTTAAGACCCTGTCTCAACAACAACGGCAAACTACTTCTATACATACTTACTGGCCATAATTTATGTTAAAAAAATATAAGGTAAAAAGCATTTTAAAACAGTATTCTGGTTATTATTATTGTTGTTGTTTTTGACACAAGCTAGAATCGTCAGAGAACAGGTAATGTCAACGGAGGAACTACCTCCATCATATTGGCTTGTAATTAAGGCTGTGGGAGTACTTTTTCGATCAGTGATTAATATGGCAGATGGTCATGGGTGGTATAAGAAGTTAAGCTGAGCAAGCCAGAGAGGGCGAGCCAGGAGGCAGCGTTCTTCCATGGCCTCTGCTTGATCAGGCTCCTCTGATTTCTCTCAATGCTGATCTGTCAACTAGTTGTCAACTGTCAACTTTCCTTTCCAGCTTGCTTCTGGTCATGGTGTTAATCACAGTACCAGAAATTTAGAAAATGGAGAAATGACCATTGCCGTAAGTTTAAATAATATTAATATTTAATAGTCTACAGAGTACAAATTTCTAAGGAGCACCTCCTTTAGACAAAAATGTTTAAATCACACACACATATCACGCATATATACATGTGAGACTTACATACATGTGGGAACATAAGTGGATAGATACTTCTATAATTTCAAAATATCTCTATTGTTAAAAACCAAAGCTAGCTGAACACTAAAATGTCCACAAGAAATTTTACTTGGGTGGCAGAGGAAGAGGATAACCCCAGGGCTACTTTCTGGACTCTAGATACTTTGCTCGGATATTAAGTAAGGTACTGTGGAAAAATATTAAAACAGAGATGCCCGAGCCTTTCTAGGTATATAGCAATTTCCCCTGAAGCTCACCCAGGAAGCTCTAAAGGAGGTTCCTTAAGACTCAGGAAGCAAACAACACAGAAGTCTCAGAAAGTCCTGAAACTGACCAAATGCACTGCTCTCCTCCCTCCCCAAGGTTTCATAAATAGTAAGAGCAACTAAAGAGACAGCAGCTGAGTGGTTTGGAAGCAGTGCGGACCAGCCAGCCTCCCTAAAGGCACTGTCTGAACTGCCGTTTGTATGCCCTGCAGTATGCTTCAGGTTCCCAGCTTTCATGAGCTGGCGCCCACGCTGAACTGGGCCTTCTGTGACGTAGCTGTCTTCACTCATTCTTGCCCATAACCCTGTTGGTAGCCCCAAAAGTTAAGAATGAGTGAGTTTGTATGT